AGGATCAAGTCCAAAGCTAGAGTTCCACTCCAAGAGTGAGAGTGAGAGTGTTCCACTACACATTGTGTGAGTGAAGTTTAGAGTGATAGAAAGTGTGTGTTATACTTTCTTGTATCCATCAAGCCTTGTCTTTGGCTTGGTAAGACTACTCTTGTTGTATTCATCTTTTTCATATAGTGAAGATTGATCCTTGTTTGGTGGACGTAGGCATAAATTGCCGAACCACATAAACTTTTCTTGGCGTCCATTTTCTACTTTACCTTGTGCATTCTCTATCTTGTAGTACCGACATTCCTAACAAGTGGTATCAGAGCCCGGTTGGCTCGTACTACGAGATGGAAGGAAGTGGCACTATGATCAAACTCACCAACTCCAATTGGGTAACATGGAAGCCAAGGATGGAGGACATTCTCTATTGCAAGGATTTGCATGAGCCAATTGAAGGAGATGCCGCTAAGCCCGAGAGCATGTCCGATGCCGAGTGGAAGAAGATGAATCGCAAGGCTATTGGCACAATTAGACAATGGGTGGACGATAGTGTTTTTCACCATGTGTCTAATGAAACCAATGCTCGCGAGTTTTGGACAAAGCTTGAGTCCTTGTTCGAGAAGAAAACTCCAGCTAAGAAAGCCTTCTTGATCAAAGAGCTCATCAATGTGAAGTACAAGGATGGTTTAAGTGTAGCAGAACACTTGAACAATTTCCAGAATATCATCAACCAGTTGGCTACTATGAAAATGATGATCGAGGACGAGCTACAAGCGCTCTTGTTACTTGGATCCTTGCCAGACAGTTGGGAGACCTTTGTGGTGAGTATAAGTAACTCTGCTTCTAATGGTGTTCTTACTCTTGATAATGTTAAAAATAGCATGCTCAATGAAGAAACAAGGAGAAAGACTTCTGGCACAGATAGCAGCCAAGTATTTGTCACAGAGAACCGCGGAAGAAGCAAGAGTAGAGGGCCTAGAGGTCATGGCAGGAGTCCTAGCCGATCCAAGTCAAAGTTCAGGGGTGCATGCCACCACTGTGGCAAAGAAGGCCATATGAAGAAAAATTGTCGAGTTTGGAAGAGAGAGCAAAGGGAAGGAAACAATCAGAAGAAAGATGATACTGGCAATACCACCGCTGTCATCTGTGGTGATGTACCAGAAATATTGTCTGTTGGTGAATGTCTGCATATGGGCAACTCTGACAGAGACATTGAATGGATCTTTGATAATGGAGCTTCCTTCCATGCTACGTCCAAACGGGAGTTCTTCAGTACATACAAAGAAGGTGACTTTGGCATAGTGAAGATGGGGAATGAAAGCTATTCCAAAATTCTTGGAATTGGTGATATCTGCTTAAGAACTAATCTCGGCTGCCAATTGATGTTGAAAGATGTGAGACATATTCCTGATATACGTCTCAATCTGATATCCATCGGTACCCTTGATCGACAAGGATATTATCACCATATTGGCGAAGGAAAATTGAAGCTTACTAAAGGCTTAATGGTGGTAGCAAAAGCACGACTTTGTTGTACGTTGTACCGGTCAAATGCACAGGTTTTTGAAAGGTGAGTTGAATGCTGTGGAGGACTCATCTCTAGACTTATGGCATAAGAGGCTGGGCCACATAAGCGAGAAAGGCCTACAAGTTTTGGCAAAGAAGTCTCACATTCCCTTTACCGAAGGTACGTCGTTAAACTCTTGTGAGCATTGTTTATTCGGAAAACAAAGAAGAGTTAGTTTTTCTGTTCCATCTACAAAGAAAGGAAACTTGTTAGATCTTGTTTATTCAGATGTGTGTGGTCCCATGGAAGTCGAGTCACTTGGAAGAAATAAATATTTTGTTACTTATATTGATGATGATGCTTCACGAAGGGTGTGGGTGTATTTGTTGAAATCCAAAGACCAGGTGTTTCAGACATTCCAGGAGTTCTATGCCATGGTGGAGAGGGAAACTGGGAAACCTCTCAAGTGCCTTCGTAGCGACAACGGCGGCGAGTACACATCTCACCAGTTTAGAGAGTATTGTGTAAAACATGGCATACGTCATGAGAAGACAGTTCCTGGAACTCCACAACATAACGGTGTTGCTGAAAGAATGAACCGAACCATCATGGAGAAAGTCAGGTGTATGTTGAGGACTGCAAAGTTATCTAAGCAGTTCTGGGGTGAAGCTGTAAGGACAGCCTGCTATTTGATCAACCGATCTCCATCAGTACCATTAGGTCTTGATGTTCCAGAGAGAGTATGGACTGGTAATGATGTGTCTTACTCTCATCTGAAGGTGTTTGGTTGCAAAGCTTTTGTGCATGTGCCCAAAGAGCAGAGATCGAAGTTAGACTACAAAGCTACACCGTGCATCTTTCTTGGTTATGGCGGTGAAGATTTTGGTTACAGATTATGGGACCCATACCAGAAGAAGTTTATCCGAAGTAGAGACGTGGTCTTTTATGAAGAACAAACAATTGGGGATTCGGATAAAGAGGCACAACCAGATGGCGCAGTCAGAGGAGTTGATCCATTAGCTTCAGATGAAGAAAGTCACGATGACATCCCTGAAGCAACTGCCAATGAAGTGCCTGCAGAATCAGATAATGCTAATCAAGAGGAGCCTGATCAAGATGTGCCAAACCATGAGATTGCTCATCAGGGGAGCCTAGTCAAGAAGAGCATATTCAAGGAGAACCCAATCAGGGGGAGCCTCCAGCCCTACAAGAGAATGAAGATCAGGTCAGAAGATCCATCAGAAGTCGAAGACCGTCTACCAAGTATTCTTCATCAGAGTATATCATGTTGACTAATTATGGAGAGCCCGAAACATATGAGGAGGCCAGAGCTCATAACGACAGTGACAAATGGATGAAGGCAATGGAGTCGGAGATGGATTCCTTATCAAAGAATGATACCTATGAGCTGGTGGAGCTTCCAAAGGGCAGGAAAGCATTGAAAAACAAGTGGGTGTTCAAATTGAAAAGAGACGACAACATGACAAGGTACAAGGCTCGTTTGGTTGTCAAAGGTTTTGGTCAAAAGAAAGGAGTTGACTTTGATGAGATTTTCTCACCGGTGGTGAAGATGACTTCCATTCGAGTTATCCTTGGTATGGCAGCAAGCATGGATCTTGAGCTCGAGCAGTTAGATGTTAAAACTGCATTTCTCCACGGCAATTTAGAAGAGGAGATATACATGGAGCAACCCAAAGGCTTTGAAGTCAAAGGTAAAGAAAATTTGGTGTGCAAGCTCAAGAAAAGTTTATATGGTCTTAAGCAGGCTCCGAGACAGTGGAATAAGAAGTTCAACTCACTCATGGTGAGTAATGGGTACAAGAGAACTCATGCTGACTCTTGTGTCTATATCAAACAATTTTCTGGAGGTAAATTCATCATCTTATTGCTTTATGTTGATGACATGTTGATTGTCGGACAAGATACCTCTATGATTAAAAAGCTCAAAGAAGAGTTATCTAAGTCCTTTGACATGAAGGACTTAGGGCCAGCCAAGCAGATTTTGGGCATGGATATAATTCGTGACAGAAAATCCAAAAAGTTGTGGCTGTCACAAGAAAAGTATGTTGAACGGGTGCTTGAAAGGTTCAACATGAAAGCAGCCAAATCGGTAAGCTCACCTTTAGCCAATCATATCAAGTTGAGCAAAGAGTCATGTCCAAAAACATATTGAAGAAAAGGAGAAAATGGCAGTTGTTCCCTACTCTTCAGCAGTAGGAAGTATCATGTATGCAATGGTGTGCACACGGCCAGATATTGCTCATGCAGTAGGTGTGGTGAGCAGGTTTCTCTCTAATCCAGGGAAGGACCACTGGGAAGCTGTTAAGTGGATTCTCAGATATTTGAAAGGGACTTCTAAGATGTGCTTGTGCTTTGGCGGTTCCAAACCAATCTTGGAAGGATTTACAGATGCTGACATGGGAGGTGACCTGGATGGTAGAAAATCTACGTCTGGGTACTTGTTTACTTTTACAGGGGGAGCCGTGTCTTGGCAATCCAAGTTACAAAAGTGCATTGCTTTGTCCACAACCGAGGCTGAATACATAGCCGCTACAGAAGCATGCAAGGAGTTGTTGTGGCTGAAGCGGTTTCTCCAAGAGTTGGGTTTGAAGCAAAGTGATTATGGCGTTTATTGTGATAGTCAGAGTGCTCTGGACTTGAGCAAGAACACTACATATCATTCACGCACTAAGCACATTGATATTCGTTATCATTGGATTAGAGACGCTATCGAGAACAAGTTGCTGCAGCTGAAGAAGATTCATACCGATAATAATTCTTCAGACATGTTGACAAAGGTAGTCACAAAATCAAAGTTGGAATTCTGCATTAAGGCTGCTGGGATGAACTCCAGGTAACTTGGAGTCATGATCGGAATTCCTCCCTCATGGACTGGAGGGGGAGATTGTTGGTATATGGTCCAGCCCATGATCAATGTTCTAGATTATTCTAGTAAGCAAGAGATGAGGCTGAAGCTTGCTAGACAATTCTAGAATGTTATTAAGTTGATGGAAGAAGCTAGAGAGTACTAGCTTCCTTGGTTGCAAATGGAAAGATCTAGAAGCTACAAGTATATGGCTAGTCTAGATTTTTCTATACTAGAGGTTTGAAGAAGGAACTAGAAACTAGTAGAATGCCAAACCCTCACCTATAAATATGGGTGTGATGTAACCAATTGAGAACCAAGAGTGAGTAGCAAAGGATCAAGTCCAAAGCTAGAGTTCCACTCCAAGAGTGAGAGTGAGAGTGTTCCACTACACATTGTGTGAGTGAAGTTTAGAGTGATAGAAAGTGTGTGTTATACTTTCTTGTATCCATCAAGCCTTGTCTTTGGCTTGGTAAGACTACTCTTGTTGTATTCATCTTTTTCATATAGTGAAGATTGATCCTTGTTTGGTGGACGTAGGCATAAATTGCCGAACCACATAAATTCTTGGCGTCCATTTTCTACTTTACCTTGTGCATTCTCTATCTTGTAGTACCGACATTCCTAACAAAAGTATTGTTCATAGTAAAAAGTACGGGCAAGCCAACTGCCTTGTTCTTACACTTGCGTTCTCCAAACGGGTGAAACTGCTATTATGATCGGTCTGAAGTAGACGCGCTTATTCTTGCGTGAGGAAATTATCAGTCTCCTTAACAAGATAACAGCTAACTGGAGCTGAAGTTGGGGATCCGGAACCCATCATGTAGCTTTTCATATTGTAGAACCAAATTCACCACGCTGCCCTCATCATGAACGCCTAATTTTGGAGTAACTTGTAAAGTGATCTTAAAGCTCTTGTATCGATCTAGAGGGTTTCCTTCAAGCACTGTGAAAGTCACCGAATGATTTACATCGTCTATGGCTTCAGTTAACTCCTTGGAAAAAGTTGGTTTCCCATCTGCTAACATTTCATCACAAATCAATTACTTGCTTCATCCACAAAAAAACATGTCGACATATATAGTAAGAGAACAATCTTTCAGCCACACTTACCTTCAATATAATCCCACAAGAAGACACAACCCACTTTACCCCATTCACCTTCAAGTAATTTATGACTCGGAACTTTGTCGGGGCTGATGTTGCATATTTCGTACGGTGTTCGTGCAAAGAATTCATGGAACCTGTTTGCTTCAGACTTGATTTCAACACTCGTCTCCACCTTGCTAGAATTTGACATTTTCCACAAGTACCAGAGTTGAAGGAAAAACGACTTTGGTGGTTCCCAACGTGAAAATGGCGGGGTTTAGTGCAGCAACAAAGAAAATGGCGGTGGCTGCTGCAAATGGATGTGGTGATTCCCTCTCCCGCAGAAAAGAAGATAAGTTTTTCTTACAATATTCTAATTATTCTCCATGATGATGTCTGCCATCTGCAATAAAAAAATAATAAAAAGAAAAAAGACAGCCACTGATGATTGGTGAAGTGACGAGATAATCATCAACTAGCTCAGCTCCACCCTCAGCACAACTGTGACGAAACCCACTTTTCTGAGAAAATCACGAGAAAAGCAGAAAGCAAAAGATAAAGCAAAAGGAAGACACATGGGGACACTGCAAAAGTAAGGAATAAACATCCCACCAGAATGATGTAATTTATTTTTATTATCTTTCGGAGACATCTGTATAAACCCCATCAGAGGGTAATTAAAAAAAAAAAGCCCAAAATAATGGGCTGCAAACCCAAAATAAGGGGCTACAATGTCATGGGCGAAGGCCCATATGCCCAAAAGACCCATACCCTCTATTACCACCAACCAGGTGATCAAAAGTACGCCCAGTACTCCACAATTATTCGACAACCTGCCGCTATTACCACCAACCAGGTGATGAAATGTACAACCCGTACTCTAAAATCATTTGGCAACTAGTCATTCATGCCACCAACCAGGTGATGAAATGTACAACCCGTACTCTCCTTCATGCCACCAACCAGGTGATCAAAAGTATGCCCAGTACTTCATATTATACATGAACATTACTCATGTCAATCATACACAAACATTCATGAGTATCACTCATATCAATCATACATATACATTCATGAGTATCACTCATGTCAACATTCATGAGCATCACTCATGTCAACATCCATGAGCATCACTCATATCAATCAAACATTCATGAGCATCACTCATGTCAAACAGCTTCAAAAGCTTCATTTACAAAAGCTCTAGCTTCAAAAGCTTCATTTACAGAGCTTCAGCTTCAAAGCTTCACTTATAAAGCTTCAGTGCAGGGTATACAAATACCGCCTCCGAACAACCGCCACTTCGGCCCATACATGGATTCAATTTGAAGTCTCCAGCTAACAGACTCTATTGACCGAAAAGACTTGGGGGACTACATTATATACCATATATTGGGCCTCAACTGGGCCTCATAAAAAATACTTGGGGGACTTAGCCCATTATCTATGTACTGAGGAGCGAACCCTTATTCTATAAAAGGGACTTCCTCACTTTCATTAGAGAGCATCGCCGCCAGCTGAGCAACCGCCTCGCCGCGAGCATCACTCCTAACCCATCACTTATGTATTGAGGAGTGGGCCCTTATTCTATAAAAGGGACTCCATCACCATCATTAGAGAGCATCAACTCTAGCCCATTATCTATGTACTGAGGAGCGAGCCCTTATTCTATAAAAGGGACTCCATCACTTTCATTAGAGAGCATCGCAGCCAGCTGAGCAACCGCCTCGCCGCGAGCATCACTCCTAACCCATCACTTATGTATTGAGGAGCGGGCTCTTATTCTATAAAAGAGACTCCCTTACCATCATTAGAGAGCATCAACTCTAGCCCATCATTCATGTATTGAAGAGCGAGCCCTTATTCTATAAAAATGACTCTCTCACCTTCAACGCCACAAGCCGAGCCAACCAAGGCAACATAAGCCACGAGCCGAGCAGCCTCGCAGCATGTGCTACTTCTAGTTGAGCATCATCTCAGATTGAGCACCGCCTCATATCGAACATCAGTTCAAGACAACGTCTAGTTACTTCGGCCCACACATGGACTGAATTTCAAGTCTCCAGCCAAAAGACTCTCTTGACTGAAGACTTGGGAGACTACTGTTTATACCATATTTAGGGCCTCGTATTTAGATCTTGTACAAATACTCAGGGGACTTAAATGTAATTATGTGATAAAAGAAGGGGCAAATATGTAATAAGTGAGGAGTCCTTATTCTATAAAAGGACCCCTCACCCTCACAATTAGAGGAGGCCAATTCCTAGGCCCTCTCACCCCCTCTCAACGCTCTCACTATCAGTGCTCCCTCTCCCTCAGATAAATACATAATCAAAGTGGACGTAGCCCAAACCTTGGGGTGAACCACGATACATCTTGTGTCATTTACATTACTTGCAGATTCACGGTCGGATTTACGTTGTTCCAAAACCTCCGGTTTTGTGCATCAACAGCCCTTACATTTATATAGAAGAAAAGAGGGAAACAAAAACTTTACAAGAACCTAACAATTTGCCCATGCCATCAGACATGGATGTATTTATTCACTAAAAAAAATGCGTTAGTTGTATTATTTTACTAGAACCGAACAATTTGCCCAGTAGACATGGATGGTGGAATATCTTGATCAATATTATTCCTCGTTTGCTCTCGTCGTTTCTAAGAAAACAATGTTTTGTGGTTTTATTAAATAGCTGGAGACAAAATGTTTCGATCTTGTTCGTTTCTCTGTTTGTATGCTTTTATACATGTTATTTCTAAACAATTTGTTTGTTTTATGGTGGGCATCTTTAAAAGTAAGATACCCATTTGTTTTTAAAGAAATGTTATTGTCACCTAAAAATTTAAGTGTGTATTTATAATTATTTATATTTAAAAAAAAATATTCTTACAATGAATGTACAATTAGATTTTTGTAGTGTAAATTTTCTGTCTTCAATTTCGACTACTCGAAATATATGATCCGATTGACCCCCAAACATTGAGGTTTAAATATTTATGGCTGGGGAAGACGAATTCACCCAAACCTCGAACTCCTTTTCTTAGGAAATAAATTGAAAGTTATAATCTAAGGCCAAATTCAAACCGAAACAACAACATTCTATTCTATAATTTCTCCTAGTCCTGATCGGTTAGGGATTCTAGTTAGTTCGTTTACAAACTACGTTGGCTAATATATTTCAGTTACAACTTCATATATAAATGCATTCTTCGTCGAATTAACAAATAATCAGTTTGTATCTATATATATAAAGTGAGAGCCCTAGTTTGGTGAAGCATTTGATAAACCAAAAATGCCCTCACTTCATACACTATACCAACGTTAATTGTCCAATAAAATTAGGGTCAAAATTGTAATATAATACAACGAAATTCTACTGTGCGAATAATACATGCACTCATCTGAACAATGACAATTTTCAACCACTAGATAAAAATATACACACTTAAAATTCATTGTGACCCTTAGATCAATCCTCCCACAAATACTGCATCACATTCTATCTTTCCACCAAAACCAAAATAACAAATAAATTGATAAAAACTGACAAACACTCCCTCCAAATTAGAGTAGAACTGTCAAACACGTTGTCGCACAAAACAGAACACCGGTTGCAGCAGTTGCAAAGATCGGAGATAGAACCACCAATCTACCACACGTTCTAGAGGGGATAGCGATCATTCCAACCCCAAATGCACAGAAAAGAGGAAGAACTCATTTTCGTCTTCTGCACAAACCTCTCATCCACGTGTTTTTCCAGAGTTTCTTCTGCATCCACACTCAATTTACACAAATTCAGGTGATTTTTTTTTCATAATTTCTACCCTCCAATTAAGTAATATTACCCACATGAATCTGCTTTTCCGCTTGTTTTGTTTATTATTCTATATAATTTAATAAGGAAATTCGAATCATTGATGGCGTAGGATGGGATTGCTGGGCGTTCAAAATTGCTCAGTGATTAGTACTTAATCGACCACACTGCTTATATTATTTAAACTTAATTGTTGTCATATGGGTTTTTCTGGATTCCATTTCTCTTATTTATGTGATTTGAGTCAGTGGTAGTCAGGTGCATGCAATGAGAGACATTTGAGGCTATAGCTGGGAATTTGGTTTCTATAAAATTACTTCTGCAATTGGTCAGAATTTATAGGAGTTACTAAAATTACCCCATTACCAGTTTTTGTTTTACTATAGTTGGTAATGATTTGTAAGCAGATTGTACATTGAGGTAATGTGTGAATTGAATTCTGATGGTTAAACTAATACGACAAACTGGTAAAAAACCATCACTGAAAAAAGATAAAGCATCACAACTGTAGAGTTTTGCCTAATGAAGAATTAGAACCGCGACGTGGGATTCAACCACCCTCCACGTTCTGCAAACTACAAACCAGATTGACAAAGACTCTTCCTCTACAGAAAACGAGGGGAGGGAGAAATAGAGATACATATTGACAAAGACTCTTCCTCTACATCGACTGATTCTTATCGCAGGTAACTTTCAAACTTGATTCTCAATTTTCTATGTATTCCTTCCAGCGTTTGTTCAAACTTTCAAACTTGACTCTACTCGCCGTGATCAACAACTGCAGCTTCTTGAAACAGCCTTTCACTCGTCATAAACGACAAGTGTGGCTTCTTTACCAGTATGTTTATTAGTCTCTTTTCTAATCAAATTCATTGCCATTAATTAACTGTTTCTCATCGATCATTCATTTCTGATCATATTTTCAATTTCCGTTCTATTCCCATTTATACATCTTTTTCAATTGTGTATGAATTATTTGCTTTGATGAAGCAGAATTAGATTTGCGTTCATATTCAATTCTAATTAATTGACGATGTCCTTTGAGAGCGAGCCCAAACTATCTAGCGATTCGATATAATCGGAGAAAGATTTTCCAGGGTGAACCATATCCTTTACCTGACTATTGAGCCGTAAAGTTTCCGGTTTCTTAAGGTTTCGGATATCCACTCAATCTATTGGGACCTGTCTGGAAATCCCCACAGCCATGTGACTTGCGATTCTTCTTCTTAATAAACGACTTAGTTTTTGCATTTTTTGTTCGAATTCAAAGTTTTTTTTATACAAATTTGAAGCTTTTCTTCAAGCTTATTCATTATATAGATTCCAAAATTTTTAAATCCTCTCAAAGTAGTAGGGATTTGGAAATGAACTCTGCTAGAGAAGGTGGCTTGCGTTGAAATTACCATAATAACAGTGTTGGGTTGGGAATTTTTTACTGGTTTTTTATTTAATATGTTTTGAATCTTATCTTGCAACCTGTTGTTTTTCTTCATGGGGTTCAGGAGGAGGAACTTCACCAAGTATTCAAAGTAATCAAAGATTCTTCAATCCCGAGTTTTACCGATCATTCTGTTTGATCAGGTTGCTACTTCACCCTTTATGATAAGTTATTAGATGCATTTCAGTGTGTCCTGCATTTGATAACTGAGTTATTTCGTTATTGCTAGAAAGGTAAATTTTACGCTAGATTGCAATGCAAGGTATGTAACTCGATAGTTTGATGAGTTTGAATTATTTTTTTTATTAGGGCTGTTGCTACTTATTTAATTATGCTTGGCAATTAGCCTGCTTGATCGGGGGTATGATCGTTGTGAATGCCGTATGATTGCAATGGCAAAATTTTATTGATTCAAGTGTGAAATAGATAAACAAATAAGAAAAAACCATGTTCATGCGTAAACCATGTCATTGTCATTGAAAAAACTATAGGTAACCCTCTAAAAATTAATAGATGAAGTCAATGGAATTGAGAGCTATGTAATCCAAGTCCCAGTTGCATATGTTATTGGTGCATTCAAGAGCTAGCTAATTGAGGAAGAAATTCAGAGGTTGATGTAAGTTGTCTGCAAAGCATCATAACCTAGGGTTGAAGCACTTAGCTTTTCTCTACCCTCTTCCATATAATTAGGATTACAAGTTGTTTTAGATATTCAGTTAATTTTGAAGCCATTGGCAATGTTTCAGTTGCAGAGTTTGATTTATCAATTATCTGCTAAATGCATGGAATTTCATCTTTTTTACTTTCAATTTTGGGTCAAATGTTGGGAAATTTTTACTGGTTTTTTTATATAATATGGTTTAAATCTTATCTTGCAGCCTGTAGTTTTTCTTCATGGGGTTCAGGTGGAGGAACTTCACCAAGTATTCAAAGTAATTAAAGATTCTTCAATCCCGAGTTTTACCGATCATTCAATTTGATCAGGTTGCTACTTCATCCTTTATGATAAGTTATTAGATGCATTTTAGTTTGTGAAACTAGGAAGGGCATTCTTTTTGCTTAGTTGTAAGATACTTGAGAAGCCGAATATTACACTTAATCAAAGAACCGAAATGGCAATGTGCTATTTCACTTTGTTTCTTTGATGACTCAAAATTGTAATATGATTGAACTGAATGATTACCTGTTTTCATCTGCATCTCCAGATTCATTTCTTTCATTTTTAGAATCATCAACTCCATGATTACCTGTTTTCTTTCATATATGTTTTTCTTTTACTAATTTATGTTTTAACTTTTCGTTCTCTTTCAATTTTCGTAAATCTGAGTTTTAGAAAACACATACAATTCATGTTACTAACAAAACTTTTGATGCTTTTACACACTCATTGGGATTGTGTAATGGTACAAGATTATTGTGTCGTGGTAATTACCAAAATCTTATTGATGCTGAAATTCTAACTGGACAATTTGTCGGATCCAAAGTTTTCTTACCAAGAATCCCTCTCAAAAGTACTAATACTGCTGGGCTTCCATTTAAACTTACAAGAAAGTAGTTTCCAGTGAAACTAAGTTTCTCTATCACTATAAACAAATCTCAAGGTCAGACAATACCACATGTAGGCATTTACCTTCCAGATCACATCTTCAGTCATGAACAATGATATGTGGCTTTATCGAGGGGGGTCTCAAAGTCAACCACAACCGTGTTAGTAAAAAATGGCTCCATAATCAGCCAACAAGGTGTATTTACACGGAATGTAGTATACAAAGAAGTCTTGCTTCATTCCAGCTAATTATGGTGATTTCTAATAGGTAACAATTTTATTATCGATAACCTTTCAGTATGCATTTCTCACTTATCAATTAACTCTTTTTATTTGATTTTTAATTTTCTCACTATCATTTGTAGATTGGCAATGAAAATTTGAAGCATCAATCATGAACAAATGGGTGGAAATTGCAGCATTGATATCAAAATGAAAACTTTTTTTTCAAAAGAAACGGTGACATATAGACTCTATGGGTATTGTGAATAATGTACATATTGTTATGCAAGATTTATATTTTGACATTTAAGTTGTTTTGTATTTTTCTACGAGTAATGTTTTCATCTACTCTTTTTTTTACATCTACTTACTATTGTCCATGGACTTTAGGTAGGAACTTGCGTCTAAAATCCCATGTTGTTTGACAAGTGCATGAATAACATTTAAATCATTACTTTACGCAAAGTAAAAACGAAAAACATGATAACTTTTTAGGATATGCATGATAAAAAAAGAGTTCCTCTTTGCACAATACATTTAAAATATATCTTGACAATTACGATGGGAAAAACTAACACAATACACATTTAGGGGCGCGTAGCACCCGTGATGTAAAAATGCCTCTCGCACGCACATTAGTGGGTGCGGAGAGGCTAGTAATTAATTAAGAACAAGAGGACTCGAAACAGAAGCAGCAAAACATGACCATGACCAACAACGACAACGTTTTGGAGCCGCCCATCAATTTCTCGATGGTGGATGAGGGCGTATTCCGATCAGGCTTCCCGCAGCCGTCAAACTTCCCATTCCTCCAATCCCTTCAACTCCGTTCCATTATCTATCTCTGCCCCGAGCCCTACCCGGAGGAGAGTTTGGAGTTTCTTCGGTCGCAAGGCATTCGGCTCTTCCAGTTCGGAATCGAGGGCAAGAAGGAGCGGTCTACGTCTCCGCTGATTCCAGCAGAGACCATCTCCGAGGCACTGAAAGTTTTGGTTGAAATTGAGAATCATCCGGTGTTGATCCACTGCAAACGCGGCAAGCATCGGACTGGTTGTCTGGTGGGTTGCCTGAGGAAATTTCAGAATTGGTGTTTGTCTTCGGCGTTAGAGGAGTACCAGCGGTTTGCCGGCGAAAAATCTAGGGGGACGGATTTGAGATTTATCGAGACGTTTGACGTATTGGGCCTCAGGGGGGATGCCTTCACGGCATTGTCCGCCATTATTATTAAGTTTATGCTTCCGGAAAGAGGCGGTTGTTGTACAAACAAGAGTTGCAAACCCATAAACCCTAGGTGATGTTTTAGTTTTTACGTGTTGAAATTTTATGCCCTTTTAGTTGTACCATAATGAAAATTCATTCATTCGCTTAGTGACGGGTCCCACGTATGGGAGTGATTTTTTTGTTGTTGTTGATTTAGCATAATCACGAAATTTAGACATGCTTATAAATTTAGTCCTCAATTTAGGAGTAGGAAATTTTTAAGAATATATGGACATGCATGTTTACTTAAAAAATTAGAATGAAAAATTATGAATGGAGAAAGTCAAAAATACAATGAAAGAAATTCATATAAAATTAACTACCCCTGATAAATTTGATACCTGGAATGAGAATAAAAAGTCATGAATTGAGAAGTTGGAAATAAGATAGAATAAATCCGTACGAAATCAACTACTCCCTGATAAATTTGATTCTTGGCATGAGAAGTCATGAATTGATACGAAGTCTAATTCTAATTCTTTTGACATATTTTTTTCTATTTTTATTTTATTTTTTAGTTGTTAAATTATCAATGTAAAGTAGAACTCAAATACTTTTTGACTCCACATAACCACATAAAAATCAAGAATTGAAACAGAGTAATTCTAATACTAATTCGTACTCTATCCTAGTGCAAAAAGTTAGAATTGTAAAAATTTAGAGCTGATCTTGGTGAAATATAGAACGTCATAGGACCATGATTCTGGAACTCCTTTCCCTCCTTCGACTGTGGTCGGCCTGGGTCAGATTTCTTCGTTCAGGGATTTACCTGTTCTGAATAGTCTGCCCTTGATGGGTCAACTCTAGTTAGTTAATCCAAGCATAGGAAGATGAGACAAAATACACACAAAGTTGTTAGGATATCTTTTCTTTTTATATTTGAGCGATATTCTAGTCTAATCCAAATTCATGGAAGGAGGATTCAAATTTGGCTACAATCGGATTCACATATTAGGATTGATTTTAAATTAAATCCAGGTTGATAAAAATATTTCAAAATTTTTAATGGAAACTTTTTTGTGAAGGTATTGAAGTTGGGATTGAAACAGAAGATAGAGCGTAATATAAAGTTACAATAACATGTTCTATTAAATGAAAGTGACTAAATATTGAAAAAAATGCTACACTGCGTGATCAACTCCGGCAACGAGCATTAGCACTGCATCCACGGTTGTAGGGATTACTCTGATTCTGAGCACCCGGCTTGCAGTTGTTGGAGGAAGCACCTCTCTGAGAGCAAGGCACAGTGTTTCTCTGCAGAGCTTCATAGCTTATGTTTCGTGAGGTGGCCAAGATGCGCCTGCTAATCTCCGAGTCCATGCCAAATTCATCATCACGATCATCCATACACTCTGCTACAGAACCCTCGCGGCGAGGTCTCACTGGAACCCAGCTCACCCCATGATCGCCGCCTGCATCAACGGAGATGATCAGAGCGGCCACGAAGGCCAAGGAAAAGATAATCGCTGAGGAATTGGCCATAGGTTTTGGTATGGTCTGTGTTTTTAGCTGCCAACTTGTATTTTGTTGTACGCCTGTTTAATTACTGAGGGAGACAGATGGGGCGGCAAGAGAGAGAAGAGTTGGTGAATTCTGATGTATATATTATTGCACTCTATTGTGTTATTTATAGTAGTAAAAAGTATAAAAAAGGGAAAGTCCTAAGGGAAAATCCTTATCTTTCAGGCAATCCATCTTAAATAACACACAATCTACAAGATATTCTGCAGTCCCATAAGGATTTTTTACACAAAAATTCCTAGTAAGTTTGGACTTTGATACATTTAAATTTGATTAAATGGAAAATTGGATGCTGATTTCTTCAAGGAGGTGATTGTGGATGCAAATTTCTTCCTCCTTGATCTTGGACAAAATTGGACCTACAAAACAATTAACACCTTAGGGTCAAGGCCAAGAGCCTCACGTGTCCACGATGAACGCGGGGGGGGGGGCTTTGGCCGTTTGGCCGAAGAACCTCTGATGCCAAAGTTAGAATTTAGAGAGAAAAGTGTTTAGAGAGTATTGGGAATTTTGCGTGTTGGACCTAGGTTTTGGTGAAAATGGGAGCCAATACATAGGGCATAGGGTGTAACTTATGGTTTAATGTGTGATTTAATGGATTAATTAGGCAATTAATCGATTAATTGGTTAATCAACACATTTTTGGCATAAATATTTTGGGGGTTATGTAATTTATACCTTGTGGAAAATATAGGATGAGGATGGATGAAATAACTTTGAATTTGTTACTTATTTTGGGCATGCTTGATTTGGTTGAAGGATGATTGCCCGCTACTCGCGCGTAGGAATCCCGTTGTACCTCAAGGGTATTTTTGTCTTCTTTTGTCCAAAAATCCACGTGTCGCCTTGTGATTATTTTTGGCTCCATAGTGATTACTTAAATGACTTGCACTAATTAGCCTTAGGGCTAGTTTGGTATTACTGTGCTTTGAAAAAAACTGCTTCTGCTGTGCTGCGAAAATAAACAACTGTGAAATAAAGCGGTAGAGTGTTTGGTAAACTTTTTTGTAAAAATGCTTTTAGCAAAAAAATCAGTGTTAAAGTGTTTGGTAAATTTTTATATAAAACTGCTGTGATTAGGTTAAATGACTAAAAATGATATAATGTTAAATTTAATATATAATTTTTTATTTTTTAATCTCTATAATTGTTGAGTCATCCAAACTCTTCCATTTTCCAAATCCCATTTATAATTCTAGAGTCATCCTTTTCGCCTAATTTTTTTTTTCATCTGACGTTCAGATCCGATACGTTAGCGTTCCGTTGGTTATCAGACAGGATCAAACTAAGCGTAGGCTGTTTCCGGATCAGATCTAGTCGAAGAGCTCTCCCCTATCGTACTTAACTTGAATAAGGCAGTTTCCCACTAGCCGCTTAAAGGAGTACTCAAGGATTACCCTATTACCGATCTCGAACTGGCCTCCTACTGTCCTCGCTAAGAAAGAGTCTGCCCGCTTAATTCAATGAAGTAGTTGATATTTATCTATTAAAGTAATTTATCAATTACGGCATTCAAGGTCGGATGATAACAGTTCTCTTTACCCAAGAAGCTCGGGGAAAGGAAACAGAAGCCATGCAGACTGAAATTGACGAACTCCCCACCCACACTAAAAAGCAAATAAAGACCCATGTTTAGCGTCCTCCACTCTAAGGACCACATCATCCAGAAGTTCAATCTCATTTACCTCAAGATCATCGACAAGATCGATCTTCCAATTTCTGAGACTGATATTTCTACCATTTTTTCCCCTAGTTATATAACTTCCACTACCACTAGTTTCCCAGTTTCATCTCCCCTACCATCCATGGCGTCTGCAAGCTCTCACAAACACCCATCTCTTCTGTCATCCATTACTTTCCCCATCACTTTCCCACCTTCCTCTTGGAGTTGCAGAAGGAGCTTGCTATGAAGATCTGTTGTGTGAAATTGTGCATCTTGGATCGAGCACTTTTTTGACAACTGGGTTTTGGATTTGTTTCCTGGTCTACAATGCCACGATGAGTTGAAAAATACTCTGATCAGATTTCGATTTCGAAAATTGAAATCCGACAAAACAAAAATATCAATGATGAAGATTCAATCTCAACCCAGCGAGAAGGAGAAACGGAGGAGAGTATTTTTGAGATTGTGAAAGTTTCATTAAAATATACTGTTCACCCGCCTCCTTGAAAAAATAAGTTGGTTTTGAGAAATAACAAAATGTAGCTTCTGTTTTTTGCCACTTTTCAGCTTTTAATGATCTGTGACTTTTAAAATAAGCAGTGTTACCAAGCACAAATTGTACTCCAATTTTTTTTCATCCCAGCTTTTAAAATAATTTAAGCAGTACCAAACCTTACCTTATTCTAATTGCAACAAAGAAAGCTGAAATTGGAATAATTCGTGATTTGTTCAAACCAAGAATACAAAAGCAACAACCTACTAGAAAATATGCTCGTAGAGATTTACGGGTTGTTTCTGCAAGTAATTTTGCTAAAAGCGCTTTTATTAGAACAACATTGAGAAATCAATTTTATAATGATATGAGCATGCCAAGAGATTAAACTAGTTTACAACATCAATATTATAATGATAGTACTCTCAGTTCATTCTTGCTCATAGAATTAAAGAGAGAAACCGAACTAAACAACAATGCGGACTAGCTTGGTCAACTCTCAGGCCTTTATTCTTGAAGATAGCAAAATTACTCAAAGTTCCATATCATATGTATGCATAAATCTTGTGCTTGGCACTTATTCCTTGAGAAGATGTGCATCAATATCTTTAATGACATTGACCATAAAGCTGAGGTACTTCTGTGGAGGCGGATCGTTCTCGTTGAGTTTTTCATATTCTAAAGTAATTTTCACAAAACCTCCTTCACTCTTTGGAGTGACCTGGAAAATGATCTTGTAGCTTTTGTAATTGTCCAGCACATGTGATCCTTCCAGAGCTGTAAGACTCACCCACTTGTTTACTTCATCTATTTCCACCTTTTCCTTGAATGTCTCGACATTTCCATCTACACGTCACATGGAAAATTACAATGATACATCTATTCATGGAGAGATTTTTCAATGCTCAGAACACTGGGTGGTACAACACATGTTATTATACAAACGAATGAAAATTATTTTCAAATGTCTCTTCACTTATATAATGAAATATAATTTATATATCCATGTTCTGAGCACACTAAAAATTCTCTCCTGTCCATGATCCGATTCTTTATATATTCATCGTCAGGTAATGCAAACCTAATGGCGCATGGATGGCCTGGTCAATATATTTCAGTTTTAATTCTAGAAGAATCTTATACGTACATATACATATCACGTTAGCATGTTTATTTCATAGCAGGTTAGTTTGTGTTATTCAATAATAATAATAATAATAATAATAATGTTACAGTATTAACTATAAACGTAACATTATTATTATACAACTTTTTTTAACAAACAATATTATCTACATTAAGGGAAAGAGGTGAGCTTAGCCTCACAATGTTTGAATGATGGAAATAAATTTGGACTTTTGACAAAATTTAGAATTTATAAATTAACATGCACCAATTCTCTTGTCTAGATTCATAAACATAGAAATTTAGAATTTCCGCGTGAAAAAAAGGGAGAATTTGAGACCTCCAATTCCCAAGTTTAAATTTCATGTAAATAAGTCACTCAGTACTACGGTCTTGTAGTATTTCTCTTCACTTGAAAGTGAGAGGTTATAAGTTCGAATCTTGTTGATGACGAATTTGATACCAAATTAGGCTACCCATTGTGTGGCTTTGCCGAACTCCTTAGTGTAAAAATATCGATGTACTAAAAAAAATCATGTAAATAGGTGTTATTCCAAATTTTTATGAGTGAGAGTTTAAAGATAACAAAATCTATATTGAATTTATATTATTCTTTTAAGTTAGTCAAACAAGAAAATTTACAAATTCTAGAAATAAAATTTCTTAGTAATTTTAAATTTTCTCATCCAAACAGAATGTTAGAGTCATGATGTAACACCCGTCGCTTTTTATTTAACAAAATTAATTATTAGTTTAACTAGGTTAGGAGGAGAGAGGAGGGTGATTAATTTCATATTACCTAGGGTGTATTTCCAGAGCTTGACAGAGCCAGAAGTTTCCCAGTCACCTTCATGTACTGCAACATCGTGTATTTTATCAGAGGCTGCTTTGGGGACGTCGTGGTGCTGGTTGCTGATGACTTTGTACAACTTATCAGCGTTGGCTTTGATCTCTACCTCAGCCTCCACAGTCAGCTTGCAAGCACCAGCTCCACTCACTGCCATTTTCTTTTATTTGTTATTAGTAATATGTGATTAGTCTGGGGAAATTGTAGGAGACGTATACTAACCTACAGGTTTCAACTTCTTATATAGAGTCGCAAAGTTGTAAATTAACATGTTATAAACTGATAGTTATGGAGGCAGCGTGTGGATATGATCCGATCACTTAATTAAATAGTTATATAATAATATTGTGTCTGTGGATCTTCCAGGCAGAGTTTTATTAATTATTACATCTAGGGGTGGAATTTTTTCCCGAAAATCCCGAACCGTCCCGATCCCGTCCCGAAATTTGACTGAAAAATTCCCGAACCGAATTTTCCGAAACATTCGGTACCCGAAACCGAACCCGTCCCGAAAGTTTTGGGTTGGGATTTGGCCACAGCTTTGAAAGCTTTCGGTAATCCCGAACCGAACCGATTATTATATATATTTATTTTTAATTTTTAATTAGAAATTACTTGAACCGTTGGATTTGTTAAAATCTAATCCAACCGTCCATTAGTTAGGTCATTTTATTAGGTTGTGATCAGATCTCTCGGACTCACTCACTCTCGGTCTCTCCGCTCCACTCTCGCTCACTCTCTGCGCTCCGCTGTCACTCACTCTCTCCGCTCTCTCTTGCTCACAGTCTCAGTCTCCCTCACACGCACTCTCACAAACAGTCTCGCCGCCCGTGCTCCCGCCGCTCTACTCCTCCGTCGAATCCACGCTGCTCCTCATCCTCCACAACTCACGCAAACACAGGAAGGAACCAATTGAGTCCCAAAATCCAGGATAGGGTTTTTAATTTTCACTGGGGTTTTGTCCTTTCTCTCTCTTTAACTCTTCAGACAGCATTTCACAGAAACCCAATTAAACATATGAAAATATACAAGCAACAACCTGTAAAATTTAACATAAATAAACAATGGTAAACTACAATTAACATAAAAATTGCTCACAGAGAGAGAGAGAGAGAGTTCTTACATGAGGTGCTGCAATTGCTTGAGAGAGTTCTTACATGTGGCTTTGTAGCTAGTGTGGATTGTGACCTACTTATTTGTGTGTTTAGATACGCAAGCTAAGTATAGCTGATTGGTTTCGTATCTGTTTGAGATTTTTATTTTATTTTATTTTGCTGTCATAATGTGCAGGACAATCCCAATTTCGAGGGTGAAACATGTAGGATCACTACTAGAAATTTCCACTTTGCCGACAAAAATAGTTTGTAGGCAAAAGTCAAAATTCGTCGGCAAAGAGCCTTTCCCAACGAAAAATTTTGTCGGCAATTTTGTCGCTAAAAGCATGTCGCGCAAGATCTTTCTCGACAAATCTTGATATTTCGTCGGCTCATTTTTAAGGCGACAAATCTCAGCCGTCAAACTGTGCCCATCACCAAAACAACATTGCGACAAAATATTTTGTCAGCATAGGTTGTTTCTTCGCGATGAAATTATTTGTCGGCTTAGTGATCTTGTCGCGACAAAATATTTGTCGGCTGAGTAATCTTGTTGCGACAAAACATTTTGACGGCTAAGTAATCTTGTCGTGACAAAATGGTTTTTCGGCTATGTAGTCCTATGACAACAAATTGGTTTGTCAGCTCAAATGACTTGTGTAGACAAAATAATTAGTTGGTTGAATCTTTTGTGAACAAAAACATTTGTCGGCTAATTAATTTTGTGCCGACAAAACATGTCAAGTCCAATATTTTCTAATTTTTAATAATATTTTTAACCATCACAAACAAGCAAGCTTAAGAGATCGAGAAGGGGCGTGAATGAAGAATTAATGTAGGAACAACACAAAATTCATGTAATATAAACTAATGTAAGGTTCACAATTCGGTGTAGCTACAAAATACAAAAATATCTATGTTTTCATTTCGAGATTACTATAATATAGATAAAATATCCTTAAGTATCACCATTCTCACTATAGTCCTCATCAAGTTGATATGCAGCATCATGAAATCGGGAAACGATAAGGATCATCATGAAACACTCCAGTATCAAACAACTGTAGAAGAAAAACAAATTAAAAAACTTGATTAGCAAACGTTAAGGGTGCTAAATATCATTGACATTAAGGAACGCAAGGCCACACTAGTGGTATTTCTAAACAAATAACTTATGAAACCATAAATGTGTAAACAACAAGATAAAGATATCTACTAATCAAGTTAACTTACCAACGCCATGCAGCATCACAACCTAGCAAAATTACATGTTTAATAGATACCAGGTAATAACCAAGTTAACATCAACTACTTATATGTCATTCATCATTGTAAACAACAAGATAAACATTATAAACAGCAAGGCAACATGATTATCACTCTGTAAACAAGGCAGCATGATAAGTAGATCATATAAATCCTTGAAAGGTATATAATTTATATAAACATAACAATACCAATCACCTATCTAAGTAGGTTATAACTCTAGAACATAAGCATATGCACCTGGAAACATAAATAAACTATACTAAAGCATCCTAATTCATCATTGTTTATAATCTTTATCAGTGTAAACAAGAAGATATAGACATCTACTAATCAAGTTAATCCTCAAATATCAAAATTACCTGGTGTGAATGATCCTCACATTGGTCTCCATGCCGTGCTGATACCAGTTGTAAGCTATCTAGCCCAGAATTCCACTGAGCCATAGACAACCTGCAAGTGTTATAGAAAGGAAAAACAAATATGTCAAACCTAGACCACAATATCGAAAAATTACAGTGGAAATCTGGAATTAAAGTCAAAGGACATTGTTTTCACCAATATTATACAAATGGATTGCCAAATCAACCAAAAATTGGAAACCTAGATCATAAAACTCGAACCCAAATGAAATAGTTCAATTAAGAACATGTTTTTCATCCATATATGCGATTCAATCAAAGCAAATACAATTATTTCATTTTCCAATAAAAACATGGAAAACGAATACAAAAACAAACAAACAAGTTAGCAAATTAATGTGGTAAGGAAAATGCATATACAAAATCATGATAAAACCTGCAATCATGATAAAAAAATATAATATTACAAAGATAGAAAAAAATTCCAGCCTTGAATATTTATAACACAAAGAGAATGAAAACTTCATTTTATATCCAATTCTACTCTCTCACTGACTGATTAATTATGTGTGTTCCCCATTTCCCATATACCATTCCATTCCATTAGTTTTAATAGGAAAGATCATCCAAATCATCTAAAACAATGAAAACTTCATTTTATATCCATGAACAAAAGCTCCAAACTCTGAAAAACAAAACCAATTTTAATTCATTCCAGAGCAACTGAATAAAACAGAACTAAACACAACTGAGAAGAAAAACTGTTTAAGCCAATCACACAGACTATATTAAATCTTTACAAACCAACCGAATGATGCAGAAATGCTTAATAACAAAATAGTTAAGCAACAAATCATGTAAAATAATCATAAGTCAACTCAACAAAACCAAACAAAACACCGACACCACTGAATAAACCCTGCCCATTGGAAAAAAATAATACCTAACAAAGAACCCAACCACTGCAAGTGTAAATTCAAAAGACATAAGCGTTCAAACACTGCAAAAATAAGTGGAAGAAAAACACAAAGTCACCAAAGACAAAAGCTTCCTAAAACGAAAAATCAAACCAGATGGAACAACCATAGACAAATGATCACAAAATAGAAGAAAACATTTGAAAGAAAGAGCTAACAGACCTTTATTCGAAAGGGCTTGCAACGCTGTTCACAAAACCCCCAAACTCTGGAGACCAATATTTTCTGCAACACAAAAGCCAATCAGATTAGGGAACCACACCGAAATCACTAAAAAAATAACCAAACAATGAATGAAAAACGCTAAAAGTTCAATTTCACACCGATCAAGCAATAATGTATAGGAAAACCCTAAACCCGAAAGACCCAAATTTCCCAAAACGAAAAATCGAATTAGATCGAACAGCCACACCAAAATAAGCAGAAAAAAAGAAGAAAACATTCGAAACAAAAAACTTACAGACCTTAATCACATATGCTCTGCAAGACTATTCCCAAAAACCCTAAAATTCACACACCAACTTTTGCTGAAACCAAAAACCCAATCGGATTAAACAAACACGCTAAAAACAAAGAAAAAATTAGGAAACAACCAATATAACACAAACACTCTAATTTTACAGGCATCAATCTGCAAATTTTCTTCCCAATCAAAGAAAACACACACACACACACACAAAAAAAAAAAAAAAAAAGAGAAACGACCTCAAACAGCGCAATGAATCAGAAAAAGAAACTCTTCAGACAACAGAGGATCGATGCAGAGAGATAAGCAGAGACACGAAAGATCAAGGCAGGCGGAAGAACACATAAACAAAGAGGAAGAAAAAAGGGAAAGCTACGGAAGAAAATAAGCGATCCCTCGCTTCCGCACCAAAAACGACGGAGACCACGTGGTAGATGCAGCAATTGAAATTAAACAGACCAAGCAGGGGCAATTGCGTCACAACACTGTTACTTTCACTGTTCATCAACAGTGTTCCACCCGTTTGGGTTTTAGTATATATAGAATTTATACTTTCATTAAGTATAACATAAGAATCTGTGGTATCCACAAGTGTAAATATTTTAAATTGAAGATCGAGCTCATTCATTGTATTCATATAGGATCAAGGAGTGTAGCTGTACAAAATCATCAAAATCGAAGTTAAAATAACCGTTAAATCATGATTTTTCGTTTATAACCGTCAGAACGTTTTGTCTCCTTACATGATCTCTGAAGGTTTTTTTTTTGCAATTTTTGGCGTATACGATCTCGAAACATATATAAACAAGTTTGACGGTTGGATCGTTGAAACTAGTTTCGTATAATGCGTATCCTATGAAAATGATAGATTCACTAACACTTAGAGTTTATTTATACTTTCATTAAGTATAACATAAGAATTTGTGGTATCCACAAGTGTAAATATTTTAAATTGAAGATCGAGCTCATTCATTGTATTGATATAGGATCAAGGAGTGTAGCTGTAAAAAATCATCAAAATTGGAGTTAAAATAACCGTTAAATCGTGATTTTTCGTTTATAGCCATCAAAAAATTTTGTCTCCTTACATGATCTCTGAATGTTTGTTTTTTGCAATTTTTGGCGTATGCGATCTCGAAACATATATAAACAAGTTTGACGGTTGGATCGTTGAAATTAGTTTCGTAGAATGTGTATCCCATGAAAATGATAGATTCACTAACACTTAGAGTTTATTTATACTTTCATTAAGTATAACATAAGAATTTGTGGTATCCACAAGTGTAAATATTTTAAATTGAAGATCGAGCTCATTCATTGTATTCATATAGGATCAAGGAGTGTAGTTGTAAAAAATCATCAAAATTGGAGTTAAAATAACCATTAAATCGTGATTTTTCGTTTATAGCCGTCAAAAAGTTTTGTCTCCTTACATGATCTCTGAATGTTTGTTTTTTGCAATTTTTGGCATATGCGATCTCGAAACATATATAAACAAGTTTGACGGTTAGATCGTTGAAATTAGTTTCGTAGAATGTGTATCCCATGAAAATGATAGATTCACTAACACTTAGAGTTTATTTATACTTTCATTAAGTATAACATAAGAATTTGTGGTATCCACAAGTGTAAATATTTTAAATTGAAGATCGAGCTCATTCATTGTATTCATATAGGATCAAGGAGTGTAGCTGTAAAAAATCATCAAAATTGGAGTTAAAATAACCGTTAAATCGTGATTTTTCGTTTATAGCCGTCAAAAGGTTTTGTCTCCTTACATGATCTCTGAATATTTGTTTTTTGTAATTTTTGGTGTATGCGATCTCGAAACATATATAAACAAGTTTGACGGTTGGATTGTTGAAATTAGTTTCGTAGAATGTGTATCCCATGAAAATGATAAATTCACTAACACTTAGTTTATTTATACTTTCATTAAGTATAACATAAGAATTTGTGGTATCCACAAGTGTAAATATTTTAAATTGAAGATCGAGCTCATTCATTGTAAATATTTTAAACTGAAGCCCTTTTGTGACGCCAGCATTAGTGTCGCTATTCCAATCCGACATTACATTGTTTTATGTCAGATTTTTTTCTAAATTTCCGATAGAAATTGGGTTTCTTGTCGGTTTTTGCTTCGCCACTGATAAGGTATATTGCAGTAGTGGGTGTTGGTACCAAGTAACAGATTCATGATAAATCGTTCATTTATTTGATTCACATACATTATCTCTGAGCGGGAAGATCCCCGCCAAAATATTACATGATATTTTAAATGATTTTTCGTTAGTTTTCATTTTTTATTAAAGTGTAACAAGGTATGTTTATATCTTTCGCCAAAAAAGTAACCAAAAATTGTTAGAGAAGGGAGACAGATAATAGGGGCGTGGATGATAATCAGTTAAGAGTGCAAGAATCGTAAACCTAGGGATAGAAATCGTCAAAATTGTTTCTGAGCGGGAAAGACCCCGCCAAATTGTTAGAAGATAAATAAGAATTCTTATCAAACTGAAATCGGATGGCGTGAGCGAAGAATGTGGGAGGGAAGTCATGAGCAATTGGGATTAGCATGCAATTGGGAGGGAGATCATGAGGCGACAAAATAGGAATAGCATGCAATGGGAGGGAGATCAGGCAATTGGGGGATGTGAACCGACAATTGAGGGATGTGAACTGACAATTGGAATAATAGAAATATTATGGGAGGGAGATCATGAGGCGGCAAAATAGGATTAGACAAAATATGGGAGGGAGATCATGCAATTGGCAGATGTGAACCGACAAATTAGGTTTGGATTGCCACGGGAAATTTATAAGTTTGTTCTTATAATCATATGTTATGTTTTTAGAAAACTTGGCATGCTTGTCGAATTAGAATGGATGATTACATACAACTGTATTCAAATTTACAATTGTAATTGCTAATAATTGATCATAGCCTAAACCAAGTTATATGTTGCTAGAAAGTAGTTTGGAGTTAGAATTGATAGGAAGAACTTTTTCAAACACTCACATATTATGAAATCAAATTGTCAATATAGATTATTGATGGCATAAAACTACAATCCAGAAATATGAAATGCTAGATATCTCTTTATCTATGCTCCCGTTCATATAGAGAAACAAGAGAGAATGACAGCATAAATAGTTGCCAAGAGCTTTGATTGTGTTCCCCGGAAAAAAATGGATAGGTGCACTGGTGAAAACCTCTCACGTAGAGTTATTAATACCTTACCAATGACATACTTTATTGCCTCTCTAATCAATTTGCCGATGAAATACTTTGTTGCCTCACATCATCGGCTAATATTTCAATATAGTGGGAAAAGTTCCCGCCAAAGTTTACCCGTCAAAACAAAATTTGTCAGGGTATCGAATTTACGCCTACAAAATGATCGTCGGCTAACGTTTCAATTTTCTCGGCTAAGATTGGCATTGTAAATTGGTTCTAGTGTGAGTATTCAGCCGACAAATTAAAAATTTCGTCGAGAAAGGACTCTTGTGCCGACAAAATTTTGCTTTGTCGGTTTAATTTGTCGGCAAAATTATAATTTCTAGTAGTGGATATGCATGAATGCAATAATCGACAGGGGTGTTCTCGATTGCTGCCAGCATTGGTATGTGCTTTAGTGTGGTTTTGTGTGTGTGAGAGAGAGAGAGAGAGAGAGGAATTTTATTTTATGACATGGGTTCATCTTGGGGTTTTCAGGTTCTGTTTCTCATGCATTGACAATTGGGCTACCATTACAAACCTCTGCCCGCTTTGCCAGAATGAATTTCAAATGATCACATGTGTTTCGGAGAGTGATGCAAATAAACAGTTATCGCTTTAGTATTATTTCTGTTATGATTGCTATGGATTATAGAATGGTATTAATGTACAACCAGTTTAAAGCACAGTTGTTACTTTGATTTCTTAACTATCTGTTTTCAATAGTTTTCTTTTTGTTGCAAACAGAATTTTTATTTTGAAGTTTTCTCAAAATAACGATTTGATGCTGGTTTGAAGTGGCACTAAATCATAAGAGTTTGATTTGTATGTGAAGGTATACGATACTATTGGGAGCATCAAAGCGGACGAGGACTCAACTTATAGGTACTTTCATAATTATGGATAATGTGTTTAAGTCTATTGGTGAGGGTTCTTTGTTCACATTTATGCGGCACATGTTCCCAATTTGGAAGCTTGGTTTGTAAAACTTAACTTATTTCATTTTGGTTGCATGCACTTTTAATTAAATAGTTTGGTAGACAAATACAATTGTGAACTTAAGCTTAACTTGTTAGTTGCTTCCTTTGTATGAAAATTGAAACATGTGGTATTGTGATATTCATATTGTGGTGAAATTGAAACAGGTGGGCTGGGCAGTGGCTGTGTAACCTTAATTTTTTTTTTTTTTGGGGGCAGTGGCTGGCTGCAATCTTAAAAGCCCAACATTTTGGGCTTCAAGGCCCAATCCCGAAGTATCCCGAAAATCCCGAAACACTTTCGGGAATCCCGAATTTCGGGAAATGCACATATTCGGTTCGGTTTCGGGATATAAAAGCCCATCCTGAAATGTTTTGGTTTGGGATTCGGGAAAGGAGTTTCGGTTCGGGATCCCGACCCGAACCACCCCTAATTACACCTACCAAACTTAAGAGCACGCGCAAACTTGATGAGACATATATCAACACGTGAGAACAATGATTGATCAACATTACCTCCATAGTATTATTAGAGTGAATGATTGTATGATATTAATTTACTAGAGTGAATGATTGTATGATATTAATTATGCGTTAAGATCTTGGGAATTTTAATGAAAAATTACTGGTATTATTCATTTTAATAAAAAATTACATTTTTACATTAAAAAGTCAATCTTAGTACTATTCACTTTATTCTTTATTTTGTCCTTATTGTTAAAACTCAAAGTTTTCAAGTCATTTTCATTAATTTTCCTTAAGATCTTTTGATTTGGCATGCGGAAGTGTGTGTGTTTGTATATTATATAGGGATAATACTAAGTTAGGTTCATATTATCTTAACTAGTGATAAATTAAGGGTTCTTTCGAGTTATTCGAAACAGTGGTTTATATTATCTTGACTTACGTGCAACCTAAACACAAAAAAGAGAGGCTGTACTGGCTTCCAAAATAAAACTAGATGCAAACAATAATGTGGAGTTCCGGTTACTCTTTTGGAATCAACCAAAGCTGAATCATTGATGCCTAATTTCAGAAAGTTTTCCTTTTCTGCATGCAGATCTTTTCAATGGATGTAGCTCAGTTTTGGGAGGTAACCACTTACTTCATCGAGTTCATTAATTTTAATCAATCTAAAGTAATTTAACTAAGTTTATTAACCTTACAATGTTGAGCGTTAATACCCAATTTTGGAGGAATTGCATCACGTTTATGTAAAGGTAATCGAAATAATAGAGCGGAATTAAATTCCAATTACGGAATACTCCAGTATTTACCAAATATTGGAGAATAAAAAATTTGATAGCACCCACTCAATTTTTTAATCCAATACTAATTCATATTCAAATTTTGGAATAAAAAATCTAATACTAATTCGTACTCATCAAATGAAAGTAAAATCTAATTCTTCATTTTTTAAGTAATTATTGTAATGTGAGTAAACGCATGAAAATCATGATTTAGAATATTTTCTAATGCAGACTCTAAGTCTGAAATTGAAATATAAAGATAGCCGTTGACGGGTCGATTCTGGTTAATCTAGGCATGAGAATACGAAAAAAATACACACAAAGTTATTAAGATAGCTTTCCTTTTTTATATTTTAGCGATAGTCTAGTCTAATCCAACATTAGACCACATTCAGTGATTCAAACTAAGAGAAGGGGGATTCAAACTTGGCTACACTCGGATTCTCATATGAGGATTGATTCTGAAGTAAAAGAATATAACCAAGTTGATCAAGAAATTTCAAAATTTCTAATGGAAACTTATTAGAAATTTTTTGTGAAGGTGTTGAAGTTGGGATTTTTTTGTTTGTTTTCGTATTGAAGTTGGGATTGAAACAGAAGATAAAGCATAATATAAAGTTTCATTACAATTAACAACATGTTCTATTAAATGAAAGTGACTAAATATTGAAAAACATGCTACGCCGCGTTGATCAACTCCGGCAACGAGCATTGGCACTGCATCCGTGGTTGTAGGGGTTGCTCTGATTCTGAGCACCCGGCTTGCAGTTGTTGGAGGAAGCACCTCTCTGAGAGCAAGGAACAGTGTTTCTCTGCAGCGCTTCATAGCTTATGTTTCGTGAGGTGGCCAAGATGCGTCTGCTAATCTCCGAGTCCATGCCAAACTCATCATCACGATCATCCATGCACTCTGCTACAGAACCCTCGCAGCGAGGTCTCACTGGAACCCAGCTCACCCCATGATCGCCGCCTGCATCAACGGAGATGACCAGAGCGGCCACGAAAATCAACGAAAAGATAATCGCAGAGGAATTAGCCATAGGTTTTGGTACGGTCTGTGTTTTTAGCTGCCAACTTGTATTTTGTTGTACGCCTGTTAATTACAGAGGGAGAGAGAGGGGGCGGCAAGAAAGAGAGAGATAATCGGTGAAATTTTGATGTGTATATTATTTCACCCTATTGTGCTATTTATAGTAGTAAAAAGGGAAAATTTTTGTCTTTCAAGTAATTCATAGGAGTTAGGGAAAATCCTTGTCTTTCAAGTAATCCATCTAAAATAGGACACTACGTAAAAGATATTATACAATTCCATAAGGATTTACACAATCACATTCCTAATTAAATTAAGACTCTGACATTTTTAAGTTTGGTTAAATAAAAATTGGATGTTGATTTCTTCAAGGAGATAATTACTTAATTGACATGCTTTAATTCAACCTTATTCCAATTGCAACAAAGAAAGCTGAAATTGGAATAATTCGTGATTTATTCAAAACCTACCAAGAAAACAAAATCAACAACTACTACAAAATATGCTCGTAGAGATTTCCGGGATGTTTCTGCTCTTAAGTGTTTTTGCTAAAAGCTCTTTTATCAGCACAAGGTTGAGACTTTAATTAAAAAACTAAGTTTTTCTCGAAAAAATATAAGCATGCCAATAGATTGAACTTGTTTACAACATCAGCATTATAATAATATTGTTGGAAAATATTAGGTTTACTTTAATGTTTGGTTTTCTGGGCTTAGCCCGTTAGTATTAGGGTTTCGTTTTCTTGCTTATTAGGGTTATGTTAGTTCTCTATATATATGGTGTTTTGTAGCTTGTATGATTAACAAGTTAGTCACAATGTAGTCTCTAGGGTTTTTGTAGCCGTCTCGGCATTCTATGTTTGATATCAATAATATTTCTAGTTTTGTAATCCGTTTGTTTGTTCATTGTGGTATGTGCACTCTGATATTCAACTTGGTATCAGAGCGGGTTTGATTCCTCGGAATTTAATCTGTTTTGGATGGATATCAATTTGTTCATCTGTTTGTCCACTGCGTATCAGTTCGTCATGGTATGTTTTGTTGGTTTGTCTGTCTAGTAGTAGTTAGGGTTTTGTTATATGTTTAAAAAAAAAAAAAAATTGAATCAGTTTGCTGCGTCATGTCATCGTCCTCTGCTAAACTTGGAATCGCCGCCACGAACCCCACATCACCAGCGTGCTCCTACCATCAGGACATCACCGCGCCAACCCGCCATGCCTGCACCCAGTGCCACCATGTCCCGCCTACAACCCCGTTGTCTTACCACCACCTGCTGTAAACCCACATCGCTCGCCTGCTTGCGCGCCGTGCAGACGGGATTTGATAAAGCCACACCAACTTGCTGCAAATACATGCAGTTGATCCGTACCCATGAGCCTGCTTGAATCTCCGCACCCGACCCGCTTGTCGCCTGCACCCACTGCTTGCTTGCCGTTCCCATTGTTCGTTGACCAGAACTCGCGCTTGGTTTACGCGTTCTGGAGAAAACCATTGGAAAAAAGGAAGCAGAATAAAAAGTAAGAAAAAGAAAAAAAAAGTGATGTTTGAGGAAAAGGAAAAAAGAAAAAAAAGAAAAAGAAATGCAAAAGTATTAGAAGTTGGGCTTGCCGTTGGTCTTGTTGATTGTTTTGGAGAATGACTATGGTCGTCTGCTATTGTACCCACAACGATTGTTCGAGTGCTTGGATTGTTGATTACTCGAGTGATTATTGTTGAGGTTTTCGTCTGCTTGTTTGTTGCCGTTGGGCTATTGGAATCTCGTCCGTTTAGTGACAAGGTCCATGCTCAAACGAAATATGTCTGCCCTCTGCCATGTGAATCTATATCCACCTGCCTGTCTGTCTGTCCGCGTTGCGGAGCCTGCCTGCCTGTCTGTCTGTCCGCGTTGCGGAGCCTGCCTGTCTGTCCGCGTTGCGGAGCCTGTCTGCCTGTCTGCCTGTCTGTCTGTCCCCCTAACGGAGCCAGTCCACATCTGCTTGTTTGCAAACCCATGTCGTATACCGCCATGAGTTTGACTGGGGGTGTTGGAAAATATTAGGCACACTCAATTCATTCTTGCTCATAGAATTAAAGACAAACCAAATCGGAAACCGAAATAAGCAACAGTGCTAACTAGCTTGCTCAGCTCTCAGGCCTTTATTCTTGAAGATAGTTATATTACTCAATGTTCCATATCGTATGTATGCATAAATCTTGTGCTTGGCGCTTATTCCTTGATAAGATGTGCATCAACATCTTTAATGACATTGAATAGAAAGCTGAGGTACTTCTGTGGAGGCGGATCGTTCTCGTTGAGTTTTTTATATTCTAAAGTAATTTTCACAGAACCTCCTTCACTATTTGGAGTGACCTGGAAAATGATCTTGTAGCTTTTGTAATTGTCCAGCACATGTGATCCTTCCAAACCTGTAAGACTCACCCGCTTGTTTGCTTCATCTATTTCCACCTTTTCCTTGTAAGTCTCGACATTTCCATCTACACGTCACATGGAAGAGTACAATTATACAGCTATCCATGATCCGATCCTTTAAATATTCATCGTGTGGTAATGTAAACCCTATGGTGCATGGAGGTCTTGTCAGTTTTAATTCTAAAAGTACATACATATGAGGTAACGCAAACCCCTAGCTTGCTAGGTTTCAAGTTAGCATGCCTAATTATTTTGCAGCAGGTTAGTCTGTGGTATTAAAAAAAAATTGTTAGTCATAAGTATAACCTTAACAATGTTTGGTTGTAATTTGCTTGCTCCTTCATGCAATCTCACAGTCTCACTACCAGCTCCACAAGTTTGCGGAGTAAGCTGCTTCATTCACCCCAAAAGGGGTTCATTTCACTATCTTTTACACAGCGGAGGCTGTATAAAGCTACGACAGAACAAAATTCGGCACCCGGGAGAGGGACGATCTCCAGAGATTCTTTTACATTTTTTGTATTTCTTTTTTTGTTGAATCATTTCTTGTAATTTAAACATTTAGCGTCATCTTGTAATTTAAATATTACCTATGGTGTATTTCCAGAGTTTGACAGAGCCAGAAGTTTCCCAGTCACCTTCATGTACTGCAACATCGTGTATTTTATCAGAGGCTGCTATGGGGAAGTCATAGTGCTGGTTGCTGATGAATTTGTACAGCTTATCAGCGTTGGCTTTGATCTCTACCTCAGCCTCCATAGTCTCCAGCTTGCAAGTACCAGCTCCACTCACAGCCATTTTATTTTATTTGTTCTTTATAATATGTGAATAACGATAGTGTAAGTCTGGGGAATTGTAGGAGACGTATACAAACCTATAGGTTTCCACTTCTTATATAAAGCCATGTTATAGTTACGGAGGCAGTATGTGGATATTATCCGATCACTTAAACAGTTAAATGATAACAATGTGACAGTGGATCTTTCACGTAAAATTTTATCACCACTACACCTACCAGAATAAAACTTTTTTCTTTTTTCTTTTTTCTTTTTTTTTTAATTAAAAGAAGAAATGTCAATTTCATTCCGCATTATTATCATGGAACAAGACATTATTTTGAATACATTGAAGAAGAAAAAAATATATAGATAATAAGTTAGAGGGGACATGAAGCCTAGCCCTAACAAGAAGTAGAAAACTATTTGAAACAACAATCAATTAAGACAACTCCTAAGAGAAACAAGAATTTGGAAACACCGAAAGATTATGAGCAAAAGTCATAACTGCACATGACGGATAAGAATCACACAAATAATGAAAACTAACATGATCAACATAATAGTTTGCTAAACAATTTGTTACATGATTTCCTTCCCGATTAACGTGAGAAAACTGAACATGCATGGAAGAGAGAATGGTATAGTAATTTGTCAAATCAACCGATAAACTATGGTGCATTGCCAAACAAGAATTACACTCATTTCAAAGAGAATGCTGCCAAAACCTTTCGAAAGCAATAAAAATAACATGAATAATAGCTTTAAGTTTCACTTCCAAAGCAGTAACAATGCCAAAAAAATCTTGTATTAAAGCATCAAAGAGACCCAAGTGATCACGAAAAATACCACAAAAACCAGCAAACTTGATGATAGATTTCAACACGTATATGTACAAGAGGATCAATGATTGATCAACTTTACCTCCATAGCATTATTGGAGTGAATGATTGTACGATATTGAGGCGTTTGTTTGGATTTGGCACGAGGAAATGTGTGTATATATTGTATATATAGTGATAAAATTAAGGGTTCTTTAGAGCTAATAGAAATCAATGGTTTATATTATCTTGACATACTTGTAACCTAGAGAGAGAGAAAAAAAAGAGGTTGTATTGTCATCAAAATAAAATTATGACACAAACAAATAATGTGGAGTTCATGTTACTTATTTGGAATCAATCAAAGCTGAATCATTGATGCCTAATTTCAGAAAGTTTTTCTTTTCTGGATGCAGCATCTTTTCACAGGATTTTTTTCGGTTGTGGTATTGTGAAGGAACTTCTTGGATAGTTTTTTTTCCCTTTTACACTAGCTTAGGGCTGGTTTGGTATTGCTGTGCTTTGAAAAAAAGCTGCTGTGAGAATAAGCGGCTGTGCTGTGAGAATAAGCGGCTGTGAAATAAATCAGCTGAGTGTTTGGTAAACTTTTTTGTAAAAGTGCTTTTGGAAAAAAAAGCAGTCTGATAGTGGATCTTTTCATTAAAGAAGCACTGTACCTCCGTGTGCTTTGAAAAAAAACCAGTTTTCCAAAGCTACAAATAGCAGCTTCAGCTTTTTCTTTTGATTTCAGCTTATTCTCACAGCAGCTTCTAAAATAAGCCTTTTTTTTCAGTTTACCAAACACCTAAAACCCTCACAGCTTTTTTTCATGGGTGCTTTTTTTTTAAGCACCTCACTCCCAAACTAGGTCTTAGTGTCTTCCTGCCAAAATAATGACACAGAAATTTTCATCAAAAGGGTTGGCGATGTCGGGCAGCAAATGTAGTTTCCCGTGAAATTGCAAAATTTGCTCACAATCTGATGATTTCGTCTCTTGGGTTGGCTCTCCCTTCTCCTAACTGCTGAAGACTGATGAAGCAGAAATTTAATCATCAATGAATTTCCTTGACTAATCCATTATCTTTCCGTTGCCCGTTCACTTTGATTTGTTCATAATCCGATTATTGTTCATTCCAATTCCAAGCGCGTAAACGTGCCCTCATAGTTATGGACTTGTCCGCATCGTTTAATTTTCCTTGAATACCTGACTTCGTCGCCTATGGTTTCACAAGAAAATAATCTCTTTGTTAAACCAGAAAATTTAACGGTTCATTAATTAGCAACTATTTCATTTTTTAACAATATTTGGCTACTCAAAGGATGAGTAAGAGTTCCTACTCAAACCTATTTGTTGCCAATTCATAGAACTTCATGTTTATAATAGAGCAGTTCATATTAGAAATCACTTTATAAAAATTGTCTCTACAAAAAATCAATTAGACTAAGGTCGTTTAGTAGTTGAACTGTGAAAAAACAAAGGAAAGAAATTGGTGAAAAAATTAAAAACCATTTATGTATTTACTAGAATAAATTGACTAAATGACCTTAATTTTAATTCAATTTTTGCAGAAATGATCTCCACAGTGTGATTCATAATATGAACAGTTCTGTTCATAAGCACAAACTTCAGTGATTCGAACATGAAAAATTTTGAGTGGGAGTTCTTACTCATTTTTGAGTAGCCAAGCATTGTTCTTCATTTTTTTTTTTTGTGTCAGTAATAATCTGACAGAGAACAATAATAAGTAAACTGTGAAAAGAAAAATATTGTACAAACGAAAAAACAAACAAAATGAAAAAGAAAACAAATTAATATTTTAAGTTGTTTTCACTTTGAAAATTTTGTTTTATTCATTCCCACTTTATCTAATTCTTAGCCTTCATGTATTGAATTATGCATTGTATTGTAGAATCCAAAAAAAAAAAAAAAAACTTTTTTGGATTCCATGTGTATAAGCATGAAATTATAGCCCACCCATATGAAAATTTTGACTCCGCGGTTGCATGTAAGGATAAACATGCCAATAGATTAAACTTATTCACACTATAACATAAAAATGCTATTACGCTCAATTATAGAAGTTGCTCAAAAGACTAAAGACAGTCCAAGTCGGAACTAAACAACAAGGCTATAGCTTGCTCTTCTTCCAGCCTTTATTCTTGAAGATATAAGATTATAGATTATCTCCCCTCCTAATCTCTCTTTCCATCCCTCCTCTCATATTTAAATGGTTACCGCGTCAACATCTTGTTTTAAATTTATTATATAGACAAAAAGACAAAAAAGAAAAGTGTAAGAGGAGGAGAGAGAATGAAATGGTACTAGAAGGTAGAGAATCCTACTCCAAGTGTTCGCTAGGGGCGAGGGGGACCCTGAGAGCAAAAGACTCTTCGTCTTCAGGTTTGAGAGTAAACCCTTTACATCCTACACCATGCTAATAATATCCACCAATTCTCTATTTTATTTATAAAAAAATAAATTAAAAATAAATTAAAAAAAATAAAAAAAAACATATGAGGGTGAATAGTACCATGATTGATATTTTAGTGTAAATATATGATTTTTCCTTAAAGTGAACAGTACCGAAAGTTTTTCGTTAAAATTCTATTTTCTTTAATTAGTAATTAATATTAAAGTTCGTCTAAGATTATTTTTTAAAGGAGATATATATTAAAAGTATCAAATAGAAAAAACAAGACAACATCATTCAAAAAAAAGAAAACTAATGAAAATAGCTTGAAAACTTTGAGTTTTAACGATAAGGATAAAGGGTAAAGTGAATAGTACTAGGTTTGACTTTTTAGTGTAAAAATATGGTTTTTCGTTAAAATGAACAATATCGCGGGCTTTTCGTTAAAACTCTCTTCAAAAAAGGGAAAGGGATCATTTTCGGATCTGTTCTACCTAATCCTCCTCATCAAATAATCCGAGCTTTTGAAATTTGATCTAACAGTTAAAGTTATTATAACTTTTAGAATTAGTCCGTATTTTTAACAGTTTAATCAAATTTTAAAGATCTAAATTATTTGATAATGAGAATTAGATGAAAATGATCAAATGATCCCTTTTCCAAAAACAGGAAAAAGAAAAACAAGACAGCAAGTTTCTTTTAACCAAGGTATTAAATATCGGTAATATCGGAAATATCGGTAGTCTGAAAACACGGAAATATCGATGGAAATATCGGTAAAATATCGATATCGATATCGATAAAAATTACATGGAAACCACGGAAATTGTAAGAAAAACTTAGAAATTTTAATTGAAACTTTGCAAGATGTTTATTTAGTCAATTATCTATTAGTTTATCACAAAAAATTGGAAGGAAATGCATTGCATGATGGATTTAACTGATTTAAATTGATTATATAGCGAGCTGGCAAACATTGTGAGTGTAAAAAATATATAGTAATTAATGAAAAAAGTTTAAAGACACCACAATTATTATATATAATGAATTAGTACAATATTTTACACTTTATATATTGCATTTTTTTTTCTCTCAGATAACACACACAGACTGACACATAGCCCGGATATTTTGAAAGCAGGTTTGGATTTTTTTTTTCTTCTCTCGGATAACACACACACACCCCACTTCTACACACACACACTTCAAAGTGCACCCCACTTCTACACACACACGCACAGACACACTGTAACAACCCAACCCCAAATTTTTATATATTTTCGTGGTTCCCCAAATAATTATGAAATTATCGTTTTAGTCCCCTATCTTAACCAAATCTGGACCATTCATCTTGATTTCCAAATTCTCTCAAGCTACCACATGGCAGCACCCTAGCACCCTCACGTATCTCTCTCTCTCCCCACCCCGTGACCTCTTTCTCCTTCTTTCTTCTCTCTGCACTCACTCTCCCTCTCTCGAAGACCCTCACTCTTTCACCCTTTGACCCACACCCGAGAGCACCCACGCACACCCTTCGTGGTACTCCGTCGACGGCATCGGCATCGTCATCACCTTCTACACGCCGTCGTCTCTCTCTCTCTCTTTCTCTCTCTCCCGTCACTGCGCAACTCGACGAAACCCCAAGAACCTCCGGCGAGTTCTTCATGGGTTATGGTTAGGTAAGCCTCGAACCTCTCTTTCCGTGTTGGTTTGTTGCTTGGATGTGATTATTGAGGTTATTCTGTCCTTTTTACCAAGGATTTAGCACGGAATCAGCCCGGGAATAGGCGCACCCATCTCCGGCGAGACCGTGGGTATCGAGAGGTTTTCCGACCACCACGGGTCGTTTCACGGCAAATGGAAGGTATAAACGCACTCCTCTCGTCTCGTGCTTTTATTTGATACCTAGATCGGGGTCTAGAACCCTTGTTTGTGGTCGACCGGAGCTGTAGAAGCTCCGGCGTTCTTCTCCGAGTAGCACGGTTAAAAAAATATCGCGATATTATCGATATTATCGATAATATCGCGATATTTTGCCGAAAACCATTTGGATACCTATTTAAATATCCATTACCTGAAAAACCGATAATATCGGCGATATTTCGCCGATATTATCGATATTTTCTTCCATGCTTTTAACAGATGAATTTTATTAGAGGTGGAATTGGGGTCCAACATCCCAGGTGTTTTCTGATAGCATAACCCAATAACGTCAAATCCATTAATTTGATTATTTAATAAATGGCTCCCACAATAGGATTTGGATCCTCTATGAGACAATTGGTCGGGATCTTCCTGACCAGTATTTGTGGGCCGTTGGATTTTTATCTAACGGTTATAAATAGGGGGACCCTCTAAATTTATAATAATTATAGTCGTTGGATAAAAATTCAACGGTCCACATACATCGATCAGGAGGATCCTGACCAATTACCTCAGAGAGGATCCAAATCCCCCACAATACACCAATCACGTACCCCTCCCAACCAATTTACACAATTTTTGTAACAGTAGGTCCCACAATATATAATAAAAAGGAAATTTGACTCATCATTTGAAAAAATAAAAAAAAATTTAACATTTAACTTCAAATACTCATTTTAGTCATTAAATAAAATTTAACAATTTATAAATGAGTAATGTTAGAGAAGCTAATTTTTTAGACTAAATTTTATAAATTATATGTATTTGTTAACGATTAAATTATTATTTAAGTGTTGCTTAATGTTTATATAGAGCCACAACCCACAAAGTCCTACACAAATAGCATGTTTTAGTTATGGAGGCAGTTGTGGTGGATATGATCTGATCACTTGAAGAAAATGACGAGTCTGCGGATCTTTGTGGATCTTCATCTTTCACATGGGAGGTTTTATGACTACACCTACCAAATTTAATCACAACAGCGAACTTGATAATGAGACATCAATAATTCAACGATTCAGAAAACTTCAATTAAATTGGGACCCATAAATAAATATGTGGAATTCCTAATACTTCTTTTGTAATCGATCAAAGCTAGATCATTGATGCCTAATTCAGAAAGAGGAGTGTTATTGGCACTTTAAAAGTCTCATTGTACACTCTTCACAAGTGTATTTTTCTTTCTTAATATAGAAAGTTTGGAGTGTAGAATAAGATTTTTGGAATGCTACTAACAATTCCCTTCAAAAAAAGGTTTTTCTGTTTTGCATGCAACATCTGGACACATGAATATTCTTTGGCATTCTAATTGCGCACACGTATTATCTTTCAAATATAGAAAATTTGAAGTGCAATTAAATTTTTAGAATGTAAATAAAAGGGGAAACTTGATATAACTCCAATTTTTTGAGCCAATAGTAAGAATAGTCCAATTTATTAAAATAAATCCAATTCTTTAAATTTAATTATTTAATTATCAATAATTATCTCTTAAAAGAAAAAACTTATTGTAAAAATCAAATTTCTTCCTAATTATCTCTTTGATTATTATTATTATTTTTTTTTATTTCTTGTTCTTCTTCCTGCTTTAACCCATTTATAGATTTTTTTTAATTTTTATAATCAACCTATATCATAGGTTAATTGTATTTATCTACCTATATGACAGATTCTTTTTCATAGTTAACATGTCACATATTAATGTGTCTTGCTTGTAGGTATATTATATTTTTTTTCTACCTTTTAGTTAGGTTTCATATCTCACTTATAGGTATAATATACATTCATATATTTGCTACTTGATTTAGGGTAGAATGTTTTGCAGATAGATTTATGTTAGTATATTAATTTTTTTTGTTTATAAGATATTAATTAGATATTTTGGAGTTGAAAAATGCATAATATTAAAAGATTTTAATTGATTTTTAATATTTTTAGAAAATATAAAAGGAGTATAAAAGAAATAAAAACATATAATTAAATAACCGGAGTCACTCCTAAAAACACTCTATGTTTTTGGACCTGGATCTAAAAGCCCCTAAATAAAATTACCTTCTTTTATTGGTTTTTTTAAGGCTCGCAAAAATGGTTGTCTTTGTTGTTTGGCGAAGGAACTTCTTGGATATCATCATATTGTGGTCTTCTTTTTCGCTTGTATTGCTAAAAAATAACTAATTACAAATCGATTTTCATCAAAAGGGTTGTTAAATAAGATATTAATTAATGCTATATTTTTTTTCTTGATACTGTTTGGGTCTCTCAACCTCGATTTATTATTTTGCATTTTATTTCTTCCATGATCATATGTATCTCCATTGTTTAACAACAACTAAAAATACTATTGTTTCTTTAAAAAAAAGTACTATGTATTTGATTAAGGCGATTTTATATGACGATGAGCAACAAAGTGGAGACGGTGCACTACACCTTTTATTTTGCATACCATAGTTCATACATTACAATCTCACATATGATATCCCTTCACGTACATTTGTTACAAGGCAACTTACAAAGCAAAGCATTTTAATTACTTGTAATCAAGCAAAAGGCACGCATTATTAACACAAATATTATATACTAACGATGGACGTCACACTGTTTCACCATTGCATTCTTTTCCTTTCCTTAATTTATCATGCCTTGATAAAGTGAGCATCAAGATCCTTGACGATGTTAACCATCAAACCGACGTATTTGTCCGGACTGCAACATCCTCAGTCAGTTTCTCATATTCAGTCGACAATTTTGCAATGTTGCCTTCATTCTTTTGAGTGAATTGATAGACCGGCTTGAAGCTCTTGTAATACTGGAAGACATCTCCTTCCAGTCCATTCAGTGTTATGGATTTGTTCTCGTTGTTTGACTACACTTTTTCCTTGAATACTCGAACTTCGTCCCCTATGTATTCACAAGAAAGTGGTCTCTATATTGACCAAGGAACAATAAAGGGAGCGTTTGATAAATAATTTGTTTTAAGTTTTCACAAAAATGAAAATTGAAGTTATTTTTGTCAGTTTTCTAAATTTATATTAGTAATTTTTATTTTTTGAAGACTGAAATAACATGAGATTGTTGAATTATTGCGGCACACCTCGATTCTTTACCAACATATTTTGTTCTAATTATCCATTATATCAATATATAGTTTTCACTTATGGGTTAGTTGTTCGCTTGTGAATCAGGGTTTAGTTATTGCGATCCTTCTAATATTGCTGGATTATGATTAACATATAATTGTGTTCTGATCTTAGAGAAAAAGGTACATATCATGTTAAATACATGAAGGTATTTATATGAGACGAAGAGAATGGTACCTTTTTAGACAGCTAAATCGCCGTGGTTTGGCCGTAAAACGGCTTGAAAGTGGCTAACTCGAGACCAAGACAGCCACTTTCGAGCTGTTTTCCGGCCAAACCACGGCGATTTAGCAATTAAAAAAGGTACCATTCTCTTTGTCTTGTCAAGAAGTATGATTTTCATTTTTGAATCACTTGATTTCTGAGTATTGAAGAAGTTATGAACGTTTTGAAGTTTGCCCAGTTTCCGGTGAGTTTTCAAGTTTCACTTTGACCAATCAACTTTGAGGCTATTTTCCGGCAATCTTCGGCAACCATTGGGCTTCTAAATAGCTGTAATCTTATTCTACACTTTCCTATCTTCATTTTGATATATTATGGGTCAAATTTGGTTAAGAAACGATTGAGTTACGAAACTTTGAAAATTGCCCAAACTTCCGACCAAGAGCTCCGGAACACTTAACGGAGTTTTTAACGGAATGACCAAAATGATGGATGGTGGCCAATCGCAGGGACCACTTTTATCGATTTGGAATCTCAGGGACCAAAGTGATGAGTTATGCAAATCTCAAGGACCATTTTGGCGATAAAATTATGAAATTTGGTACAATCTTCTTGACAGACTCACGAACCCGCTCCAATTGGAATCACTAAAAAATTCTACCGTTTGATTACTTTATGCTTAAAACAAGTTCACATGTCCTACAATAAAAACATAGAGCAAAGCATCAAAATGTCACTAAAATAATAACCAAAATATACCAAGAATAGGGAATAATATATAGTATAAAATCGACTCATCATGACCTTGCATGAACTTATAAGTAAGTTGGGCTACTTTTCATATTGCCAATTGGTTTTATGGTGTCACCTTAACTTTCTTCATACCCATGTGTGAAGCCAAAAGACTACGTGCGCTCCATGTCACCCATTTGTGTTGCCCACCTGTTAGGCTTAAAAAATTTCCACACATGAGGAGGCGTATTAAGAATGAATCTCACATTAATGGGAGGAGAAATTTTGCATGGACTTATAAGTAAGTTGAAAAAAAATATTGGACAAATATTGTAGAGTACACCACATTTTATTTTATAGATGCGATCGACAACCATAATCTATTACATCACAATGTCATATATGACATCCTTCGTACATCTTTTACAATACACACAAACCTAATTAAGAAAAGCATTTTATTTAAGTAGGTACGCATTGATGAACATATGCATGCATGATTACATATAATTGAACCCTTTTTAACAAGACCAGCAAAAGCTCTTTCCAACCGTTGCATATGACGTATGGTTTTTATTCATTAATTAATTAATTTATGCTCCCAGAAGGTGAGCGTCAAGATCCTGGACGAGTTTAACCATCAAACCGACATATCTATCTGGAGCTTCAACATTCTCATTCAGTTTCTCGTATTCGATCCACAGGTTGGCAATGCAGGTGCCTTCATCTTTTTGAGTGAATTTATAGACACCCTTGAAGCTCTTATAATACTTGAACACTTCTCCTTCCAATCCTTTCAGAGTTGCAGCCTTGTTCTCATCGTCTAGCTCCACCTGTTCCTTGAATATCCCGACATGATCCCCTATATATATGCATGCATGCATTCATGGTTAATTTCATAACAACAAAATATATAAACTTTCTCACCCTCTCTTATTAGGATCTTGTTTCCACCGTAGGAAAAAGGGGGCAATATGACTTATTTACGAAACATGTATTTACTGTATATGACTCTCATTGTCTAGAACAAAAATTGAAGGAAGCATTGAAATATATATAAGAGGTCATATATGGTAAATACATGATTTCTACGATTGTTCTATCTCGACCTTGTTTTTGCTACAACAAATCAGAATTTCTGCGAAAAAGCTGTAAACATTGAAACTCATGCTATGAACGTATGATGATTTGAGCACATCTGTTAAGGTATACATACATATAAAGTGAATAATTAAACAGGAAAATTGAATTAAGTAGCGGTACCTAGTTCATATTTCCAAATCTTAACAGAGCCGTGTGTTTCCCAATCTCCTTCATGCACATCAACTCCTTTGATATGGGTATTAGAGATGTTTGGGATGAGGTGGGCGCTCTTGAACATGTTGTACAACTTGTCAGCTGGTGCCTTAATTTCTATTTCAGTCCCAATTTTACCATGCAAAACCATGTTTATGAGCAGTTTTGATGGGTGCTACTCAGAAATTATAAGAGAAGAATGTTAAAGGATATGTATAATTTGGGCTCCTACCCTCCTTAAATAGAAGCGACTAGAGTTAAATTGCGAGATAAAACTTAATGTGTCCGGAACACGATACAGTACGCCATATATATAATATATGTAATATAAATGGAGGGAAAGTTTTTTTATTTTATTTTATTTTTTTCAAGTGTTTCTCTACTTGTGTATGACATACGACGTATGTACCCGTGTTCTGGATATTAAAAATTCTCTCATAATATTTTAATAGTGGGTAATCCAATTTAAAAACCAAATCATGCAACACGTGATAAGGATTAAGTCATATATTTTTTAAATCATACTTCTCGGATAATTGGAATCCTATGAAGTAATGATCACAAGTTCACAATATGCATGGATAGATGAAGGGTTTGCTCATGAGTAATGTTAGGGAAACCAAATTTCTAAATCAAAATTTGTAAACAAAATAATGTAGAGGTAGATGATTGAATTATTATTTAAGCGTTGATTAATATGCTTATTTCTTATTAATAACATATCATTTGATTTGTATTCACGCATGCGATAAAGATTAGATTAGTACGATCACACTAAAAATTTATTTGTAAATGTTTTAAAATAAAATGTAATTTATCTGCAAAATGTTTTTTTAAGGTACGATATTCTTTAATAACAAATTTATACGTACATCAATGAGGATAGGGTGTAAACAAAGGGCCTCGATAAAAACCTTGCCGGGGTTTTCAACCCGTTCGAAGAGAGATTTTTCAATGTGACCGTCACACAAGGAGGTACACCACGTGTCTCTATGTAAATGGTTATATATGTGTGTTAAAAGATTAATAACTTAAAAATTAAAATTTTCCACCACTTACATAAAAACACGTGATATACCATCCGTGTTCCCGTCACAACTAAAAATTTTCCCTAGTCGAATGGTAAAAGAGTGTCCCACACCAACATAATTAATTAGGAATTGCTATCCTCAAAGAGAAGATCAAGAATTACATTAGGAAGTTCCTCAAACCAAACCACAGTGTTACCATAACTCAAGCTCATATGTGCTAGCCTGCGTGCCACCTTGTTCGTCTCCCTTCGACTAAATTCAATCTTCCACTTGAACAATGAATGAATAATTGCGTGTGTCGTTTAGAATGTTTCCAAAATGTGACATGTCAACACTTCCTTCTGCAAAATGTTTTAGAATAAAAAGTTTTATCTCTATTTATTTATTATCATTATTATATTTCTGGAAAGATCGATACGTATGGGCCATGGCGTCTGGTTTTTTTGTCATGGCGTCTGGTTTTTTTGTTAAAAAGCCATCAAATGGGGAGGCAGCGATGAGGTATTAGGTATCCACAAATGTCAGTTCACAAAATATTATACTAAAAGTAATTGAAAAGAATCAAACAAATCAAACAAATATTAATTCTTTGCCCAAAATAATCCACTAAAAAAAGGGTCCACAGCATAGTTTTTTCCACTAGAGTTTATCGATCCTTGAAGACTATCATTGATGATTGATCATCCAACAGGTGCATTATTTATTTTTTAACAAACGCTAATAGTTACACTAAGGGAATGGAGGAGTGTGTTAAGTCTTACAATAGGCTTGGCAAAATAATGTGATTCATTTTCGTTTATGGCGAGAATCAAATCTAAGATCTCTTACATATAAGTGAAGAGGGATAGCACTAGACTGTAATACTAAATGGCCACATACAGTATTTATAGATAACAATAATAACAAGAAATACTTTTTTTTTTTCATGCTGGACCATTTTTTCTAAGGTGATGCTAGAAATACCTTCTTTTTAAACTACAATTGTAAATCACGTGATGTGGCGGTTAATGGTCAGATTTTTTTTTTACTCATTAAAAATGTAATCCAACTATCAACAGCCACATCATTTGATTTACAAAATTTGGTCTAAAAAGATGGTCTCCCTAGCATTTTGCTTCTCTGTATAACTTTTAGTCATGACTCTATACCGACTTTCATTTCTAGATTTTAAAATTACGCCACGCTACTCGTTAGGTCCGATTTCAAAAAATCGAAAACAGAAAGAAAAAAAATTGAACCATTCACCAAACCAAAACAGCAAGAACAAAAAATTAAAATTGAATAAGCAGAATCGAACCAAAATTTTGGTTCGATTCGATTTCGGTTTTAGTAGTTCAAAAACCGAACTGCACTGAAATACCTTGTAACCATAACAAGTGCATTTGTTACACTTGACTATCTCGGACTGGATTAAGCTCAGGGACTAAGTTAGACTGGCTTAGACTAGACTAAACTGAATTAATTTAGTTAAGTGTTTGTTCCAATGCCGGACTAACAAGCAAAATAATATTTTTCTTTTTTTTTCTTTTTCTTTTTCTTTTACCATTTTCTACAACACATTCTCTTTTGAGAAAGTTCTCCCTTTTCTCCATTTTTTTTCTTGAAATGTTATCCTCACAACCCAGAATCAACGTCTGCTCGATTGGGTTCTTCTGATAATCCCTAAGTGGAGCCTCTGCAACCACAGCTTCATCTCAATCTTTTGCACATCTTCACAAATTCGCTCAAATCACAAAATCCAAATTCGCGGGAATTGCAAAAACCCATATTCAATTCCAATTCGCTTGAATCACAAAACCCAACTTCGTTGGAAGTGCAAATCACATATTTGAATCATGAAACCCAAACTTGAAATGCAAACCCCAAACTCAAATTGCAAATCCAAAATTCCGTTCGAAGCTTTGCAACATTTGCATAAATCAGTTTCCACCCACAAAATCGAGTAAAGTAAATGATTGAGAGCGCATGAGGAGGAAGCGGGCCTTCCAGAAGACGTGACTTATTTTTGTGTTCTTTGAGATTCGAAATGAACAGACGAAGAAATCCTGGTTTCGCGAGTGTAGGCAACGGCAAAGCAAGCAAACGAAGCAAGCAGGGAGAGGAGAGAGGATGCGATGCAGAGAGAGAACAGGACGGAGCAAGGTCTTAGCAATCCCATGGTTTTCCCGGGGATTGGCCAAGACCTAGTGAAGGAGATAAGCCGTGCGAGTCCTATTTAATCCCACTTAACTTAGTCTGTAACTTAGTCCGTGAACGCAACAAACACGGGAGTACCCTAATGTTTAATCCTATCTAGTCCAGTGATAGTTAACGAGTCCAAACAAACGCACCCTAAGTGTATTCCTCCTCTCCTCCTCGTCCTCATCGCTTTAGTTCAATCCTCTCCTAACTTAAGTCATGTTCCTCTGCGCCTCTGACGCTCCACGTCCTCAATCTTCAATCCTTTCTCGACGTCTTCAGGTCATCTCCAACCGAAGGGTCCAGAAGGCCAAAGGGCCTAAAATAGCCCGAAAACCGTCTCCAACTGAGGGCTAGGCCATAGGGCTCTAGAATCTGGGAGGGCCCCACGGAATCGGAGAGGGCTTAAGGGCTGGCCTTTTTTTTTTTAATGTTTTGTTATTTCTATCGGTTATAACCGACAGAAATAATATATATTATATTATTAATGTCGGTTATAACCGACACTAATAGCAATGTTAATATAATATCAGTTTGAACAGTGTCGGTTAAAATCGACACTAATTTGAATTCCAACGGCTAGCCAGTCACTAGCCGTTGTATTCAAATTTTTTTTTTCTTTTTATGAATTTAAACCTTTTTTTTTCTATAACTTCCTATAACTTTTTTTCTATAACTTATATTTTACAAAATTTGGTTCATATTTTTTCGTATAACTTCTATTTCACAAAATTTGTTTCATATTTTTTTTTAAATTCTATTTTTTTCTATAACTTCCTAAGCCATTATACAACATTAAATTAAATTAAGTAACATAAAACAACATTAAACAATATGAAACAACATTAAATAACATTAACCAACATAAAAATTATACAACATGAAACTTAAACAACATTTTTAAAAACATTTAGCCGTTGGATTTGAATTTAAGTTGTAGTTTTTAAATAATAAATTATGTTTGGCGTGATGGCTCTTTGGCCCTCGGTTGGAGACGGTTTTTTGTGATAGGACTAAAACGAGCCATCTAGCCCTCGGTTGGAGACGGAGACAAATATAATCATGTACTGTTCATTAAAATATTAATATCTTAGAGAATCTTGAAGGGCCAAAGGGCTAAAACGAGCTATCTGGCCAGCCATCGGTTGGAGATGGCCTCATGTTTCAGATAATCAGAATCACCTCGATAGACAAAGAAAAAGAGGGACGTCGAGATCCCTCCATCGCAACTCCTTCACCGCTGCTCTTCCATCACAGCTCCACCGAAACCTGTCACCCTTTAATCTAACAGTGTTTGCTGTTGAATAATTTTTTTTTTTTTGACAAGTCATAGGATAATCCAAATTTACCGAAACTACGAAGAGGGAAATATTTTGAACACAAGACGCAGTGAGTTAAATAGAAAGATAATAAATTTCTATATTTGGATCATCATGAAATGAATTAAGAACAAAGGAAATTGGTCGTTATAGGACAGTTACAAATTTTTGTTGCTGAAATAGTAAAATCAACACGACCGACATAAGGCTTGACACGTGAAATGTCTCAAATGGCCATGTACGTATATTACCTAGAAGAACACGATCGATCATATTGATTTTCCTATTACTTTCAGCAAAAAGGTTTTGTAATGTCCTACAACCACCATTTTTGCCTAGTCCATTGAAAATGAAAAGAGAAGCAAAAACACAATCCAATATCTAGATGGTATATCATACTTTTGAGATTCGAAATCCTATTTGTATGATGTAATCAGTAACTGTGCACATCAGCCATGCATAATTGAGATCCAGTTAAGATTTATACATTAAATTATATACAGAATCATCTTTGTAAACATGAGGTATTGATCACTTATTTAGCAGATCTATCTTTTCTGGAACTAACTGTAACCGGAGAGGCAGAAAGGCGATTATGTTCATCTGAAACCACCGGGTAATCGAGTTTCTTACTATTGTTTTCATCTTTGTAAGACTTTGAAGGAGATGCTGATCCAAATATCTGCACTGTTAGGCTTCCACCCGCAGAGAGAAACAAGAAGTAAACATGAATAATGCATACCAAAAACAAACAAGTATACATCAACCTACAAGACGCTTGGGGATATGCTGAAGTGCAGGGGAAAGGATAATGCATTGGTCCTTCATGATATAACCAAATGAGCTGGCTTAGTCGCGCATACGTTGTACCTCGGATTGGATTAAAATTAGGGAACTTTAATGAAAAGCACCCGGTACTGTTCACTTTAACGAAAAACCACATTTTTTCACTAAAAAGTCAATCCTGATACTATTCACTTTACCCTTTATTTTGTCCTTATCATTAAAACTCAAAGTTTTCAAGCCCCTTTCATTAGTTTTCCTTTAAAATTACCGTAAGTAGTAAGAAGCTCAAAGTTTTGTCCAAAGGGTTGAAAACTTAAAGTCTAAGACACAAGGGAATAATCAGGTTCCACAAGGATGCCGCCCATGATCCCCATGGGAATTTATAAAGAACTATGAAGTATGTCACAGTTTGAGTTTGAATATTGGTACTGAAGTTCGGTAAACTTCTACCCAATATAACGTCTAGTTGACAGTACGCTCAATCCTATATAACCACTGTTTTTTCTACGGTAAAAGGTGGTTCGAACATCTAGCATGAAACTGGATAAATCTTTGCTGCTGAAAGTTTGTTAAATTCAAAGCATTGCGCTTATTGATGGTCTACTTGGTAGTTTACTAATACTAGGTAATGATAAATAAAAATTGTGAGGTAGAGGTTTTTTTTTATTCCCTCTAACCAGAGGTAAAGAGTACTTTACCTAGCACCAGAGCAGCGCCAACCCAACCAGTAGCACCCCACCTTTCCCCAAGGAGAAACCATGCAAAAGCAGCACCCCAGACCGGCTCCAAACTATAAATTATTGCTGTTTCTGTTGCTGATACATCACGCATTGCGGCCATCTGGAAAAAATACTTTCCATCAAAACTTTAAGCTAAAAAGATGCGTTGCAAATAAAACAATATTGGAGAGTTTTTTTTGTTTGGAAACAGCATAAGTAGTATACTCAACCAGAGGTCCTATAATTTACAAATATTAATTTTTTATACCGGCGATAAGATAAGCTTTATATCGGAGATATTTGTATCCATTGAATCACTAGTAACTTAGAATAGTAAAAGGTCGTACCCAGTGCACAAGGCTCCCGCTTTACGCAGGGTCTGGGAGAGGTGAATGTCGGCTAGCCTTACCCACTCTCAGATCAGCATTTACACATACCTCTACCCATAAGCATAGACCAGTCGAAAATATGCCCGAGTACAGTGCAGGTATCCATGGGAACACAACCATCCATTCCCAGAACATACCGCACGTCCATAACGATGGGTTAAAATCTTGGAGGCCACCCGACCCTACTCCAACACAGTACCATATTGTTGACATGACAGTAACAACACATACCTGAATGGAATCTTAGAACCTTAGAACTGTCCACACCACCAATAAAGATTAACAAGTAGCATTAATCACGATACAATTACCATGGACATAACATAAGGACAACATATACTAACCTCATAACAAACCAGGTACGAGCAGGAACTATTGCTCATGACATACCATCAAGCAAGGGAACTATAACTACCTGTTAAATTCAACAAGAAAATGCCAAACATTGTATCTTCAGGTACTCCCAGAAAGCAAGAAATTTGCCTTCCCATAAATGCATAGAAGGTTAATAAAGGTACTTACAGTGAACATGGACTGAAACGATGCACGACCAGCATCTGAAGTTTGCAATCCCAGTGCCTGCATGAGATACCCTAGACTGACCCAGGGACCCAACTCAATCCCTGCTTTACATGTCTGAGCATCACCTCGAGCTTGGAACACAAAAGGGATGAACGGAATGGCTGACACAGCAAACCGCACAATAGTGAAGGCTGCCGGGTCCATGACGGCTTCCACCTCTTTTACAATCGAGAAATTACTGGCTACTGTTGGAAATTCAAATTAAAAGTCATGTGATCTGTCCATGTGATGCTAACCTTTCTTTACAGATTGTTTCCAGCAAAATATAATCATCATTGCTCCTTCATTATTCAGCCGAATGGTGATGAAAGACAGCAAGTGTGCTGCCATGTGATGTGCTAGCAGGAAGACAGCAGTGTGCTGCCATGTGCTAGTCGAATCTGTGTTATTTGCAGCTGGAAAGACAGCTGCTGTGTGCTAGCCGAATGTAGACAACCTGGAATACATTTGGTCTTTTCATTTTCACGTTCCCATGTGTTAAAGACAGCAGATATGCTGCTGTCTGTGTGCTGTCAATGGATGGTGTAAAGGTGTAGGTTGTCTTGTATTTAAGGAAGCCTCTCGTAAGGCTTCAGTGTGCATAAGAAAAATCCCATCTGATTTGTCATTCAGTTCTTGAAGTGTATTTGCAATCTGTTTTTAATATCAAAGTGCCTTGTTTCCCAAAGCTTGTAGCTTCCCTCATTTCTCTATTTTTGTCCAATTTTATTGAGAGTGAAAGTGAGAGGTGTGATAGAGTTTGTAAACTTATCAACCACATATTTTGGTATTGAGTTAGTAAACTTCTCAATACCAACAGTTGGTATCAGAGCCAGAATACCATTCTGGCAGGTGCAGCAGTTATGGCATCCAACTTAGTGCAGCTCCAAGTTCCCACATTGAAGAAAGAAAATTATGAAAGATGGTGCATCCAATTCAAAGCATTGTTTGGATCACAAGAGCTATGGGAAGTTGTCAGTAATGGGTATGTTGTACCCACTACCGAGCAAGAAGCCACATATACTGCAGATCAAAGGAACACTCTCAAGGATTTACGAAAGAAGGACCAGAAGGCGTTGTATCTTCTCTATCAAGGATTAGAAGATTCAACGTTCGAGAAGGTTGCAGAAGCAACAACGAGCAAGCAAGTATGGGACACACTCAGTACAATCTACAAAGGAGTAGATCGAGTCAAGAAAGTGAGGTTACAGTCACTTCGAGCAGATTTTGAAACTGCTCACATGAATGAAGGGGAGAGCATCTCCGACTATCACTCAAGGCTCATTGTGATAGTAAATCAGATGAGGAGAAATGGCGAGAGACTCGATGAAGTACGAGTTGTGGAGAAGATACTTCGGTCACTCACATCTAAGTTTGAGCATGTGGTGACTGCCATTGAGGAATCCAAGAATTTGGAGGCGATGAGCGCAGAGGAGCTACTAGGATCCCTCCTAGTTCACGAGCAACGCATTCAGAAGAATGCAAGCCCCACAACACTAGAGCAAGCTTTGGAGTCAAAATTGAAAATTGACAAACCAAATAAAGGTCGTGGGCAGTGGAACTCACGTCGTGGGAGTTCATCCAACCGTAGCCGAGGACGAGCCCGAGGAAGAGGTCGAGGCTATGAACAAAACCGAGGTCAATCTCAAGAGTGGAGATCTACCCGAGGAAATGCGCATATCCAATGTCACACTTGCAAGCAATATGGACATTATGCCAATGAATGTTCACATAAAAATGGTGAGCATGTCAACATGGCAGAATCAAGTGGAAATACTGATGAAGAACTTACAGTCTTGCTAGCACACCATGATTCCAGTAGCCAACAAGATGTTTGGTATTTGGACTCTGGTGCAAGCAATCACATGTGTGGAAAGAAGGAGTTTTTTGCCGAACTCAAAGATGGGGCCTATGGATCTGTAAGTCTTGGTGACTCCTCAAAGTTGCCAGTTGAAGGCAAAGGGAAGATCAAGATCATCCAGAATGATGGTAGAGAAGAATACATCTCCGATACCTACTACATACCAGGTATGAAGAGCAACATTCTGAGCATTGGTCAACTGCTCCAGAAAAGGTATATTATACATATGGAGGATATGTTTCTCACTCTCAGGAATGCAAGGAGAAAACTTATTGCACGTGTTCAAATGTCAAAGAACCGAATGTTTCCCGTTGAAGTTGAACACAAAGATTGGGAGTTGCAACATCGGTGTAATGGAAGATGAGTCATGGAAATGGCATCTTCGATTTGGCCATCTTCATTTCAATGGCCTAAAGTTGCTGTCAAGTGGAGGAATGGTTCGTGGTCTACCCCAGATTGAAGTCACACGCCAAGTATGTGAAGGTTGTGTGCTTGGCAAGCAAGCACGACTATCATTCCCTGTTGGTGATACATGGAGAGCAAAGGCACCACTGCAAATGGTACACACGGATATATGTGGTCCATTGGATCCTATTCTTATGGAGGTAAATAGGTATTTTATTACTTTCATTGATGATTTCAGTAGGAAGACTTGGGTTTATTTTCTCAAGGAGAAGTCGGCTGCCCTAAAAATCTTCAAGGAGTTCAAGGCACTCACAGAGGCTGAAAGCAACCACAAGCTTGTGGCTGTGAGATCAGATAGAGGTGGAGAGTACACCTCCAATGCTTTCCAAGCATACTGCAAGGAGCAAGGAATTAGGCATCAACTGACTGCTGCCTATACCCCACAGCAAAATGGGATAGCCGAAAGAAAGAATCGAACCATCCTTGACATGACAAGGTCCATGCTTAAGGAGAAGAATTTGCCAAAAGAATTGTGGGCAGAAGCTGTAGCTTGTTCGATTTATTTGTTGAATCGATGTCAAACAAAGAGTGTCAAAAGGATGACACCACAAGAAGCTTGGAGTGGATATAAGCCGAGTGTTGCACACCTAAGAGTTTTTGGGTGTGTTGCATATGCTCAAGTTCCAGAAGCCAAGAGGAGAAAGCTCGATGATCGAGGTGAGAAGTGTGTGTTGGTGGGCTATAGTGAAGAGTCCAAGGCATACAAGCTCTACAACCCACTAACTGGCAAGCTAGTGGTTAGTAGAGATGTCATCTTCAGTGAGGAAGAGGCATGGAAGTGGAACAACAAAGAAGTCAGTAAAGAGAAAGATCGTCTCCACTAATTTTGAAGAACCAGAAGTTGTACCACCTGTTGAGCAACAACCTGCTCAAACACCACAACAACTCCATTGCACAGAACTGCAAGGAGTGGTCCTACATCTAGTGAAGAAAGCAGCTCTTCAACTCCAGTGTGAGACTAAGAAGTCTCACCGAGATATATGGACAAGAAGAAGAAGAAGAAACCAACCTTTTCTGCTTGTATGCAGCCCACGAGCCTCTCTCATTCAATGAAGCTGTGGAGAAGATCGTTGGAGAATAGCCATGGAGGAAGAAAATCCATGCCATCGAGAAGAATGACACTTGGAGTTGACAAAGCTCCTACCAAATCAGAAGGCAATTGTGTGTCAAGTGGGTGTACAAGATCAAACGCACTGCAGATGGGAGTGTGGATCGGTACAAATCAAGGCTTGTAGCAAAGGGCTACAAACAAAAGTATGGAGTGGACTATGATGAAGTCTATGCTCCAGTTGCAAGACTTGACACGGTAAGATTACTAATCTCTCTTGCCGCTCATTTCATAAATGGAAAATTTATCAACTAGATGTCAAGTCAGCCTTCCTTAATGGAGTACTTGAGGAAGAAGTGTACGTGGAACAACCAGAAGGCTTCCAAGTACAAGGAGAGAGAAGAAAAGGTGTATCGTTTGAAGAAGGCTTTGTATGGCCTCAAGCAAGCACCACGAGCTTGGAACTCAAGGATTGACAACTACCTTCACCAAAATGGATTTTCAGAAATGTCCATACGAGCATTCAGTTTACATGAAGAATGGTGCAAAAGGGGAGTTCTTAATTATTTGTCTCTATGTAGATGACTTGTTGTTTACAGGAAACAATGAAGCAATGTTCTGTGAGTTCAAGCAATCCATGTTCAGTGAATTCGAGATGACTGACAATGGATTAATGTCATACTTTCTTGGCATAGAGGTGAAGCAAGAAAGTGACGGTATCTACATTCTCAACAAAAGTACATGAGAGATATATTGGAGAAATTCAATATGGATAAGTGCAATATTGTCAACACTCCAGTTGCAACTGGATTGAAGCTGTCCAAGGAAGGAGAAGGTGAGTTTGTAAACTCAACCGTGTACAAAAGCTTGGTTGGAAGTCTAAGGTACCTTACAATCACAAAGACCTGATATAGTTTATGGTGTTGGACTCGTGAGTCGGTACATGGAAATACAAGGGAGTCTCATTGGCTGGTTGCCCAAGAGAATCTTGAGGTACATAAGAGGTACTCTAAAACTATGGTCTGTTTTATAATTTTTGGTGAAGATGCAAAATTATTTTGGTTATTCAGATAGTGATTGGGGAGGTGACCAAGATGAAAGGAAAAGCACAACTGGCTATGTGTTTTTTCTAGGATCAACAGCTTTCTCATGGACTTCAAAGAAGCAATCAATTGTTGCTTTGTCATCATGTGAAGCCGAGTATGTTGCTGTAGCCTCAACAGTATGTGAAGCAATTTGGTTAAGAAATCTATTGAAGTCAGTGTGTCATCCACAAGTGGAATCGACTGTGATTCATGTGGATAACATGTCTGCAATCAAGCTTGCAAAGAATCCTGTTCAACATGGAAGGAGCAAGCACATTGATACCAGGTTCCATTTTCTAAGGGACCATGTGAAGCAAAAGACAATAGAGCTTGTCTATTGTCACACGAAGGAACAAGTGGCAGACATCTTCACTAAGCCATTACCAGTTGAATCATTCCGGCTATTACGTGAAATGCTAGGCATGAAGGCGTTTTAATTTGAGGGGCCATGTTGGAAATTCAAATTAAAAGTCATGTCATCTGTCCATGTGATGCTAACCTTTCTTTACAGATTGTTTCCAGCAAAATATAATCATCATTGCTCCTTCATTATTCAGCCGAATGGTGATGAAAGACAGCAAGTGTGCTGCCATGTGATGTGCTAGCAGGAAGACAGCAGTGTGCTGCCATGTGCTAGTCGAATCTGTGTTATTTGCAGCTGGAAAGACAGCTGCTGTGTGCTAGCCGAATGTAGACAACCTGGAATACATTTGGTCTTTTCATTTTCACGTTCCCATGTGTTAAAGACAGCAGATATGCTGCTGTCTGTGTGCTGTCAATGGATGGTGTAAAGGTGTAGGTTGTCTTGTATTTAAGGAAGCCTCTCGTAAGGCTTCAGTGTGCATAAGAAAAATCCCATCTGATTTGTCATTCAGTTCTTGAAGTGTATTTGCAATCTGTTTTTAATATCAAAGTGCCTTGTTTCCCAAAGCTTGTAGCTTCCCTCATTTCTCTATTTTTGTCCAATTTTATTGAGAGTGAAAGTGAGAGGTGTGATAGAGTTTGTAAACTTATCACCCACATATTTTGGTATTGAGTTAGTAAACTTCTCAATACCAACAGCTACAACAAGCGAACAAAATGAGTGAAACAAATTTAAAATTGTGATCCACACACTTCCAATGCGCCTCTGGAGCCCGAATTTTATTCCAAGCAACTCCCAATCAACCAGCATTTCGTTTGCATTTTCGTTATACATTAGTAATTGAATTTTTGTTAGAAAGTAATTCTGCCCCCTCAATACAAAACGCGGTAAGCTCTTAGTTCGATCTTCACCTAAAGCTCTACATGATCTCTCCGTTCAAGGCCTAAACCCTATATTTCATTTCCCTTTACACACATCCTTCTAAGTTTTCTACTTTTGCTCAAAAATTCGAAATTTTACTTTGCGTATTATCAAGTGAAATATTTTCCCACATTTTCATGGTTTTTATGAACAATCAAACACTTTTCATAAGGATTCGACGTAAACTAGCAGTGAAGGCTGTCGACTACCTGACGCCCTCCCCCTCCTTCTTTATCCGGGCTTGGACCAGCAATGTAAGATAAACTTTATGAACAATCAAACACTAAGCAGAAAATAATTTATGAAAATATTAAAAAGGTTTAAAAAGGAAGAAGCTTTTTACCATGAGCGACGGTGATGACGTTGAGCAAGATGATGCTCCTAACTTTCTTGGAAGCGAAAAAGATCCTTCGCCATAGAGATCGTTTGCCGAACAAGGACTTGAAGCTTAGGGTCGTTACTCTCCTTTCGTCTTGCGATCGATTTCCACTAGAATTTTTAACCAATGTGGTTGGGTTCGGATTCCGATTCGGATTCGGACGATCCAATTTCACTGGCTTTCAAAGTCCCTGTTTGGCATTAGGTTTAGAGCTACTACTAGGAGAAGAAGGAGGAGGAGGAGGAGGAGGAGGAGAAGAAGCGGTTAAACGGGATCGTTTCCGGGGATTTGTGTGGAAGGAAGAGAAAGTTGAGAAGTTAGAAGAAGAAGAGCATTTGATGGCGGTGGTGGCGCAAATTGATGAGTTCCACGACCACCCGAATGGTGATTGGGCAGCCATGCCTGAGCACTGGAGCACTGAACCCAGAACAACTGCGCGTTGTGGCTGGCTGGGATTAATTACCAGTTACACCTGAAATTACTGAAACACCCTCGTTGAGATTTTGGTTAAGGAAGTTGATATTTTGGTCAAGGAGTAAACTGTCGGTTTACCCCCTGAACTTTTACCTCACTTTCGATTTCCCCCTGAACTTTTCCATTGGAAAATTAAGGACTCAAACTAATTTTTTTAGCCAATTTGCCCCCTACCGTTAGTTTTTCATATATTCTATCCATATTTCCGTTAAGTGAGACCATGTGCACAACATGTGAGGGTAGTTAAATTATTTCACTCTTAAAAATGATTAAAAAACTGAAAATAATAAAAAAAGCAAAACTTTCCCTCTATTTTTTCCTGCTAATTCCTATCCTCGATTTTATTTTTCCCTCTCATTCCTATGCATGAGAAATGACATATAGTGTTATTGTCTACCATTTTTATTTTCTCTAACAAATTAATAATTTGACAAATGCTAATGGTGCTATTGTCTCCAAAGCAGTGCATTAATATAAGAAACCCTAGTCTTTTTTATGGACATGTTTCTTATATTAATGCACTGCTTTTGAGACAATAACACCATGAGCATTTGTCAAATTATTAATTTGTTAGAGAAAATAAAAATGGTAGTACATGCTTCAAAAAAAAGATTAACTTAGCTACTTATGAAGACAATAACACCATATGTTATTTCTCATGCATAGGAATGAGAGGGAAAATTAAAATTGAGGATAGGAATTAGCGGGAAAAAATAGAGGGAAAATTATTATTATTTATTTATTTTTAGTTTTTAATCATTTTTAAATTGAAATGACTTAACTATCCTCACATGTTATGCACATGATCTCACTTAACAGAAATATGGATGGAATATATGAAAAACTAACGGTAGGGGGCAAATTGGCTAAAAAAATTAGTTTGAGTCCTTAATTTTCCAATAGAAAAGTTCAAGGGGGAAATCGAAAGTGAGGTGAAAGTTCAGGGGGTAAACCGACAGTTTACCCTTTGGTCAAGTCTCCGACTATCAGTTAAAATATCTATAAAAAATTATTAGGACGGTTCAGTTCGGGTTATCTAAAAGTTAATATAAATAATGTTGGGCAGATTAAATTTTCAGATCAAATTAATAAAAATGAAAATGTTAATTAATATTTAATAATAATTTAATCACCAACTATCATTTTACATGATTTATAAAATATAATTTAAATAGATGGTAGCTTTTGTTCTTTAGTGCTTTTGCTAAAAGCTCTTTTATCATTATGAGATTGAGACTTTAATTAAAAAACTAAGTTTGAGACTTTAATTAAAAAACTAAGTTCTTCTCGAAAAATATAAGCATGCCAATAGATTGAACTTGTTTAAAACATCAGCATTATAATGATATCACACTCAATTCATTATTTCTCAGAGAATTAAAGACAAACCAAATCGGAAACCGAAATAAGCAACAGTGCTAACTAGCTTGCTCAACTCTCAGGCCTTTATTCTTGAAGATAGTAATATTACTCAATGTTCCATATCGTATATGTATGCATAAATCTTGTGCTTGGCGCTTATTCCTTGAGAAGATGTGCATCAACATCTTTAATGACAGTGACCGCAAAGCTGAGGAACTTCTGTGGAGGCGGATCGTTCTCGTTGAGTTTTTCATATTCTAAAGTAATTTTCACAGAACTTCCTTCACTATTTGGAGTGATGATCTGGTAAGTGACCTTGAAGCTTTTGTAATTGTCCAGCACATGTGATCCTTCCAAAGCTATAAGACTCACCCGATTGTTTGCTTCATCTATTTCCGCCTTTTCCTTGTAAGTCTCGACATTTCCATCTATACGTCACATGGAAAAGTACCCGGTCACCAGAGTCTCGACATTTTCATAGAAGGTTTAAAAAATTAATTGTTAGTTTGATTAGTTAGGAGGAGAGAGGAATGTTATTAATATTACCTATGGTGTATTTCCAGAGCTTGACAGAGCCAGAAGTTACCCAGTCACCTTCATGTACCGTAACATCGTGTATTTTATCAGAGGCTGCTTTGGGGACGTCATGGTGCTGGTAGCTGATGAATTTGTACAGCTGATCAGCGTTGGCTTTGATCTCTACCTCAGCCTCCAGAGTCTCCAGCTTGCAAGTACCAGCTCCACTCACAGCCATTTTCTTTTATTTGTTATTTATAATATGTGAATAACGATAGTGTAAGTCTGGGGAATTGTAGGAGACGTATACAAACCTATTGGTTTCCACTTCTTATGCCAAATCAAGGGATCCGAGTCTTTTAAATTTGATTCAATCAGGGAGCTCCTTTAAAAGTTATAATACTTTTAGATCCGAAAAGGATCCCTTTCCTTAGTTATGGAGGCAATTGTGGATAAGATCTGATCACTTGAAGAAAATGACGAGTTTGCGGATCTTTGCGGTTCTTCATCATTCACATGGGAGACTTTATGACTAGACCTACCAAATTTAATCGCAACAACGAACTTGATAATGAGACATCAACAATTCAACAATTCAAAAAACTTCAATTAAATTGTGACCCATAAATAAATATGTGGAATTCCTATTACTTCTTCTTTTGTAATCAATCAAAGCTGAATTATTGATGCCTAATTCATAAAAGGTTTTTCTGTTCTGCATGCAGCATCTGGACACAGGAATATTCTTTGGGATTCTTTGGGATTTTAATTGTGGACTTGTATTACCTGGCCAAATATATAAAGTTTGAAGTGCAATTAAAATTTTAGAGTGTAAATAAAATTACCATCTTTTATTGGTTTTTTAAGAAAGCTTTAATGAAAAGAATTTGAGCTAAGTTTAATTTAATAAAAAACCACCATATACTATTATTTAACCAAAAAGACTTCATATTTAATCATGAGGATAAAACTAATTTATAGTACCATACCCACAAACATTTAACACACATGAGCCCAAAACGAAATGTTTTTTTTCCACCTTTGCCCCTAACAGCAATGCTATTCTGTCAGCCAATTCTGTTACAAATAAACTTTCCTTTACTTACAAGTATGCCATTAAGTCAGCCAATTCTTTCTCTCTTTCTTTTTCTTTTGGCCGTTCGTTATCTCTTCAGGTTTTGCATTTTTTTTCCCCTTGTTTTCTTCATGTCGTCCCCCTCCCTCCTGAAGGAGAGGTAAAACTCAACGTGGGTGAAAGAGAGTGGCCACCTCCTCAAACCATTTTGCACGTTTAAAGAAAATGTGAGTAATTGCTTCCCCAATTTCTTTTATTATATATACATATTTTATATATTTTATATATATATATATTATTAATTTATTAGTTTATTACTTATTTGTAATTAGGTGGTTCAGATTCTTTTGTTGATCAATTTCCACCTTAATTTTGCTTACCACTTAGAACTCACTTTCCTAGAATGCAGGAGCCACTTCCATTGGAAATTATCCCAGTTTCATTTTCAGTTTGTGAGTCTTTGTAGATTTGCCAATGGGGTATCGACTCTTAACGGATAAAACAATGGTTTTGAAGATTTGCCCGTAAAGCTCCGGTATTTTCACCAGCTCGAGTGTTTTCAACATCACCACCTTCTCCTTGTTATTTGCCTTTACCAGCAGTGTTGTTCATGGCTTTGTTCTGTCCTAGCAACAACATGAAAACAAATCAACAAAAAAGAGATAGGTCCTCGTCGGATCCTCTTTGTGAGGATCACGAGGATTCTTTAATCCTGTCATTCCATCGTACATCGTGCAATCAGAAATCATTTTAAATTATATGATTCAAAATTGAACACAAACAGTACCTGACGAAAATTGACCGCACGATGTATGATGAACGAACATGATTAAAGGATCTCCGGGATCCTCACAAAGAGGATCCGGCGAGGATCCTATCTCAACAAAAAAATGCATTGATCTACTAACAATTTGATACTTTATGTCTTCAAATAAAAAACAAGATCAAATAGCTACAATATTTCCCCAGGTAAACAAAATTATCAATTAAAAATATTGAACACTAACTATTTCTCGAATTGGATAGGGGTACCGATACTATTTCTTAAATAGAACATTAGTACTATTATTATTTCTTAAACTGAATACTAGCACTATCAATATTTCTTAAACTGAACATTCATTATTTCTTAAACTAAGCACTGGTACTGTCACTATTTCTTAAACTGAACATTCACTATTTCGTAAACTGAACACAAATATTATTACTATTTCTTAAACTGAATATTCACTATTTTGTATACTGAACACGGGTATTATCATTATTTCTTAAACTTAACACTAATATTATTACTATTTCTTAAGCTGAATACTGACTATTTCTTAAATTGAACACTGACTATTTTTATAATTGAATACAGGTACTGTCACTATTTCTTAAACCAGAAATAGTGAATTAGGGTTTAGTTATTATGATATATTGTTGGATTATGATTAACATATAATTGTGTTCTGGCCTTATAGAAAAAAAGGTACACACCATGTTAAATACATGTAGGTATTTATATATAAATATATATTACGCACGTATACTGTAATTCCAACTTTTGATAGATCAAGCCATGAGTTTCCCAGTCCCCTTCATGCACCTGGATACTGCCAGAACAAATTTTTGGGACGTGTGGCGAGCCTGGCTCTTGAAGATGTTGTAGAACTTCTCAGCAGGTGCCTTGATTTCGATCTCAGTCTCAACCTTACCGTGCAGAGTCATGTTTATGATCAGTTGGGATGGCACCATAATTAATCAATTTGCACCATACTACTAAATTTTTTTAATTTTTCATCATTTCTTTCGTTAAGTAGGTGTGCTATCCGCATGACTGCCTTCAAAGGGTAAAAAAGTCATTTTACCTACACCTTCTGTCTTCTTTCTTTTCTCCGAACTTTCTCTTCTTCTTCCTTTTCACCAAGCCGAGCCCGTGCTGTTCCACCATGCTCCACCGGCACGATTTTCCGGCGAACACCAAAAGAAACAATGGGAGGGATCTGAGCTCGTAGATTCGCGTTCACTACATCCCTTTCTTACACTCATCGCAAACCCTACCCTCCTATTCCAGTGGGTACACCTCCCCCGTCGCCATTGAGTTTCTGAATAAAAACCGCGCGTACAACTCGACCACCACCGCCGCCACTCCTACGGCTCCCATAGCCACCAACGCGTGCTCTCGCGAAGACCCGCACCTGAAGTTGGTGCCTTCGATTATGATCGAGTACTTGGACTTTGTCTCTCCCGGATCCACGAAGCGCATGGAGTAGGAGGCGGGGAGGCCGCAGAGCGCGTAAGACCCAAGCTTGGCGATGTGGGGAGAAGATGAGATAGATTTGATCAAGCCTTGCCAAAGAATCTGGGAAGTACAAAATAATAGGAATATTATTAAACTAACGAGAATGCGGGAATGGCTACAAAACCCTAGAATGCTACATTGTGACTAATTTATTGTTCTACGAGCTACAAAGCATCATATATATAGAGAACTAACATAACCCTAGTAGGCAAGAAAACGAAACCCTAATACTAACGGGCTAAGCCCAAATTCAAACAATAAAATAATCATAAATTCTAACACCCCCCATCAAACTCATGACGGTATACGGCAAGAGTTTGGAACAAGAAGAGGCGGATGCAAGCTCCGTTAGGCAGACACGACAAAACAAGCTCCGTAGGCGGACACGACAAAGCAAGCTCCGTTAGGCGGACACAATAAGGCAAGCGGGTGAGCAACCAAGTGAGCAAATGAACAATCCAAGCTTCAATCAACAAGGCCCAACCAAAGGCCTTCAAACAAATCATAATAGCAACAACACGTTTGCCCCAACAAAAAGCAACAAATACTGCCTACCAACTCTTTTCCACTAGCAACTTTTCACAGGTCAACAAACTTTTTTTTTCTTTGCTTTCTTCCTTCGATCTGCGAACAAAGTGTGGTAACAAATGGTGGGTGCGGCGGTTGCTGGGTAGGGCAAGCAAATTCATCTCTAGGTGCAGTTATGGGACGACATCAGGTTACAAGTCCGGGCAGCAATGGTTCCAGGTGGGTTCAACGGATTATGGGTAGCAATGGGTTTCGATATGGGCTTCAAAAAGTTGTCAGGCAGCAGCAATGCGAATCGATTCAGATGGTACAGGCTATAGCAACGAGTGCGATGGCCAACTCGTGCATGCGTCATTGGGTGGCAAGACGACGACGTGATGCATGCAGCAAATAGATTCAATTTTTTCTCCCTTTTTTTAAGCAACAAAACCCTAACTAGGGCACAACGACAAACCACAACGAAGAAGAGGAATGTGACAAGACAAACAAACTAGCTACCAAGAACAGATTCAACCCATCAAACCTGCTATGATACCAAGTTGAATATCAGAGTGCGCAACGAACAAGACTACAAAATAATATGAATATTATTAAACTAACGAGAATGTCAGAATGACTACAAAACCATAGAAGGCTACATTGTGACTAACTTATTGTTTTACGAGCTATAAAGCATCATGTATATAGAGAACTAACCTAACCCTAATAAGCAAGAAAACGAAACCCTAATACTGATGGGTTAAGCTCAAATTCAAACAATAAAATAATCCTAAATTCCAACACTCCACATACTCTACTGCACCAAATTCCCCTTTCTCTCTCTTCTCTTCTATTCTCTCTCTCTCTCTGCTTTTCCTTTTCACATTGCTTCTTATTGATGACCCACAACCACTCTAACACGTTGCCGCTACTCTCTTCCTTCCTTTCCTTTCCTTGTAAGAAAACAAGTATTCTTCCCCTCCTCTGAGCGCTTTTTACTCTCAGAGATTTTCCCCAACTGAGTTTTTCATTTACTGCAAAAACATATTTTCTTTTGGGGTTTGGGGTTTAAAGGGAGGGTTTTTCTCTGTTTATTTACAAATTTATTGAAAAGTTGAGCTCTTTGTGCTTCCGATGTAATGAGTTCTCTTTCCTTTAAAGGGTCTTGTTTGGTAACTTTGGTTACTGAGAAAATGAGCGTTCTCTATCGTTTGGTATGCAGACGGGACGGGACGAAACGGAATGGGACGGGACAGGACGGGACAGAACAGAGAGGAAGCGAAGATGCCCTCGGATGGAAACAAGAAGGAAGAAGAAGAAGATGGAGAGGTTATAATTTTGTGTTCCACAGATGTGGAACGAGTCGTTCCAGGGGGATGAGGTGGAACAAAAATTCACCAAAAACTCGTTATGTGGAACAGTATGTTCCACCCGTTTTAGGCGCACCAAACATGGGACAGAACGCCCCGTCCCACGTACCAAACGGTACCTAAGAGATGAATTTGGGGA